TCCGTTTTCCTTTCTTGAGTTCGGAGTAGAGCAACTGCTTTGGGAGACGGTGGTCAGGCATCCGGACAGTGGAGTCGATGGCGGAGGACCATCACTTCAATGCTGGTGGTCTTTGCTTCTTCCAGCACGCTGACGTTTCCCCGCCTGTCTTCCCAAGAGATTTGCAGGATTTTCCGGAGGCAGCGCTGATGGAATCGTTCCAGGAGTTGCATGTGACGTCTGTAGACAGTCCACGTTTCGCAGGCATAGAGCAGGGTTGGGAGGACAATAGCTTTATAGACAAGCACCTTGGTCTCCCTAGGATGTCCCGGTCCTCAAACACTCTCTGCTTCATTCTGGAAAATGCTGCACTCGCAGAGCTCAGGCGGTGTTGTATTTCAGTGTCAGTGTTGACGTCTGTAGACAGTCCACGTTTCGCAGGCATAGAGCAGGGTTGGGAGGGGAATAGCTTTATAGACAAGCCCCTTGGTCTCCCTACGGATGTCCCGGTCCTCAAACACTCTCTGCTTCATTGGGAAAAATGCTGCACTCGCAGAGCTCAGGCGGTGTTGTATTTTGGTGTCGATGTTGACTTTGGTGGAGAGGGGGCTGCCAAGGGAGCGGGAATGGTCCACGTTTTCTAATGTGACACCATGAAGCTGTATTTCTGGCATTGGAGAGGGATTGGCCGGTGACTTTTGCTGGAAGAGCACTTTGGTTTTCTCGATGTTCAGTGACAGGCTGAGCTTCTCGTATGCTTCTGCAAATATTGAATCCAGACAAGACAGAGGTCCTACTGGTCAGTCGTAAGTCCGAACAGGGTATAGGGTTACAGCCTGTGTTAGATGGGGTCCCACTCCCCTGAAGACGCAGGTTTGCAGCTTGGGGTGATCCTGGACTCGTCGCTGAGACTGGAACCCCAGGTCTTGGCGGTGGTCAGGGGAGCTTTTGCACAATTAAAACTTGTGCGCCAGCTGCGCCCGTACCTTGGGAAGTCGGATCTGGCCACGGTGGTCCACGCTCTTGTTACATCCCGAATAGATTACTGCAACACTACTCTACGTGGGGTTGCCTTTGAAGACTGTTCGGAAACTCCAACTAGTCCAGCGGGAGGCAACCAGACTGCTCACCGGAGGGTCATACAGGGTGCATACCACCCCCCTGTTGTGTCAGCTCCACTGGCTGCCGATCCTGTTCCGAGCACAATTCAAAGTGCTGCTTTTGACCTACAAAACCCTATACAGTTCCGGCCCAGTGTATCTGTCCGAACGGATCTCCCTCTACGTCCCACCTCGTAACCTAAGATCTTCTGGGGAGGCCCTGCTCTCGACCCCGCCTCTATCACAAGTGAGATTGGCGGGGACGAGGAGCAGGGCCTTCTCGGTGGTGGCCCCTCACCTGTGGAATTCACTCCCCGGGGAAATTAAATCAGCGACATCCCTCCTTTCCTTTAGGAAAAAATTGAAAACATGGATTTGGGACCAGGCATTCGGACAATCTGGCAGATAAAGAAAGGACTTTGACGATGGACAGGAATTGACTAAGTGGAATGGAATTATGGAACTCTGAAAGACGAACGCTGAGCATGAGATTAGTTTTATTGATTGTGTTATATACCGACTGTTTTAACTGTGATAATTGTTTTAACTATGGTTTTGTACGTTATGTGTATTTTGTGTAGGCATCAAATTGTGCCTTTTTGTAAGCCGCCCTGAGTCCCCCCTCGGGGGTTGAGAAGGGCGGGGTAGACGCACTCGAAATATATATATATATATATATAAGATTCAGAAATGCAGGAGAGTTGCCACCGTTGACGAGAAAGGGCGAGAGAACCAGGAGCTGCCCTTTTGCTCTTCTTGCCGTCCCATCTAGGTTATGATAAGGTCAAGGCAGTCTCCAAGGAGCGCCTCTGGGTGATTCTGGAAGGCTCTCTTGGCAGCAGCCCATCCCTCCTTCCCCTTTGCGGGCTTGGCTCAGGAACGTGGCGGTCAAAGCCTCCAAAGTCTTTGGACTCCCGGTGGCGTCATTCCCCTTTTTCCCGGGGTTTTGGGTTTCCTGACTCAACACTCTTCCCTCCCTCTGGCAAGCCTTCCTCTGAGCTCATGCCACATCGCTTGGAACATAATGCTAGGAGGACCCCTTGACCTAAAAGCAGGCTGATGCAACGTTGCTGGATGGAGAGGCCTTCAAGTGGGCGCTGCCTCCACTCCGAAAACGGGCCTCTTGGGCATTGTGCCCTTTGCTCTTGGCATTCCCCGGCATGCCATTCAGCCTTTGCAATCTCACAGGCGTCGGCGGTGTCCGGGAGGGCTTTTGCGCAACTAAGACTCATGCGCCAGCTGCAACCGTACCTCTCAAAGGTTGATCTGGCCAGTGTAGTCCATGCCTTGGTCACCTCTCGATTGGATTACTGCAATGCGCTCTACAGGGGGCTGCCCTTGAAAACGGCTTGGAAGTTCCAACTGGTCCAACGAGCGGCGGCCAGGATGTTAACTGGGGCTCCCTCCAGAGAGAGGTCAACCCTCCTGTTTAGGGAATTCCATTGGCTGCCGTTTATCTACCGATCCCAATTCAAGGTGCAGGTGCTTATCTACAAAGCCTTAAACGGTTTGGGACCATCCTACCTGTGTGACCGCATCTCCGTTTACGAACCCACGCGCTCCCTTTGTTCATCCTGTCCCTCGTCCCCACCAAACGCGCCTGCGACACAGGTGGGATCACGAGCAGGGCCTTTTCTGTGGTTGCCCCCCGACTCTGGAACACCCTCTCCAAAGACATTAGACTAGCACCCACATTGGCAGTCTTTAGGAAGAACTTGAAGACCTGGCTATTCCGATGAGCCTCTCCAAAGTAGGATAACCCCCAGCACTATGTCCCAGAAGCACGGTATTAGAGTTTAAGGCTCTCTGCACTCTGCACTTGCTCAGAAACCCAATATACCACCAGCCACACCCAGCACTTTTTAACCTGTACCCATCACTGGCCCGGCCCTGGTTTTATTGCGTAATGTTTGTTATTGCTTATGTTTTAACTTTTAATTTGCTTTGAATTGTATTGTTATTGTTTTGTTGTTGTTGTGTTGAGGCCTCGGCCTTTGTAAGCCGCATTGAATCCCTTGGAATATTATAATAATAATAATAATAATAATAATAATAATAATAATAATAATTCTCGAAATGCCCCTGTTCCTTTCTGCAAACTTCTAAGTGTGCTTCAACCTCAATTCAGCAGAAAACACTCCCAGTTATCTGCCATGGAGCCGACTGGGTGGCGTTCAGTGAGTCCCACTCTCTCAGCCTCAAACTCCTGGAAATGAATCCTAGAATCCTAGACTTGGAAGAAGCCTCCTGGGCCATGTAGTCCAACCCCATTCTGCCAAGAAGCAGAAATGTTGAATTCAAATCACCCCTGACAGATGGCCATCCAGCCTCTGTGTAAAAGCCTCCAAAGAAGGAGCTTCCACCACACTCCAGGGCAGAGAGTTCCACTGCTGAACATAGAATCCTAGAATCCTAGAGTTGGAAGAGACCTCCTGGGCCATCCAGTCCAACCCCATTCTGCCAAGAGCAGGAATATTGCATTCAAAGCACCCCTGACAGATGGCCATCCAGCCTCTGTTTAAAAGCTTCCAAAGAAGGAGCCTCCACCACACTCCGGGGCAGAGAGTTCCACTGCTGAACGGCTCTCACAGTCAGGAAGTTCTTCCTCATGTTCAGATGGAATCTCCTCTCTTGTAGTTTGAAGCCATTGTTCCATTGCGTCCTCGTCTCCAGGGAAGCAGAAAGGAAGCTTGCTCCCTCCTCCTCCCTGTGGCTTCCTCTCACATATTTATACATGGCTATCATATCTCCTCTCAGCCTTCTCTTCTTCAGGCTAAACATGCCCAGCTCCTTAAGCCGCTCCTCATAGGGCTTGTTCTCCAGAGAAGCCCTATGAAGTACTCCTCGTGAAGTACTGTATATACTCGAGCCTGAGCCTAGTTTTTCAGCCCTTTTTTAGGGTGAAAAAGTTCTCCTCGGCTTATACTCAAGTCAAGGTTCATTATTCTTTTTTTTAAATTCTTTATTGAGTATTTTCATTAAAATATAGATTATATAAAATCAAACGAAAAGGGAAATAGAAAGAAAAGAAAAATAAATAAATAAATATGTATATAAAAATAAAGAAATAAGGTTCATTATTCTTTTACTGTTATTATTATTATATTACATTTATTATTTAACTCTAGTTATTATTATTACATTTATTATTTTACTCTATTATTATTATTATTATTATTATTACATTTATCATTTTACTCTCATTGTTATTACATTTATTATTTTACTCTATTATTACTATTATTATTACATTTATTATTTTACTCTATTATTATTATAATTATTATATTTACCATTTTACTCTATTATTGGTATTATTACATTTATCATTTTACTCTCATTGTTATTATTTTATTCTATTACTGTTATTATTATATTTCCATTATTTTACTTTATTATTATGATGTTTATTACATTTATCATTTTACTCTCATTGTTATTGCATTTATTATTTTTCTGTATTATTGCTGTTATTATTACATTTCCACTATTTTACTCTTTTATTATTATTATTTTTATTACATTTATCATTTTACTCTATTATTATTGGTATTGGTATAAAATGATAAATGTAATAATAATAATAGAATAAAATAATAAATGCAATAATACCAATAATATCGATTGATTGATTTATATTATTGGTATTATTGCATTTATTATTTTATTCTATTATTATTACATTTATCATTTCACTCTATTATTGCAGTTATTACATTTCCACTATTTTACTCTTTTATTATTATTTTTATTACATTTATCATTTTCCTCTATTTGTTATTATGATAATTATTACGTTTATCATTTTCCTCTATTATTATTACATTTATATTTGGGTCGGCTTATACTTGAGTATATACATACGGTAATGGCATTTTCTGCTTCCTGACTCTTCTCTTCTCCTCCTTCTCCTCTTTCCAGTTGAAACTTTGGAACAAGTTCCGCGTCTCCAACATCCCCTCGCTGATATTTATAGACGCCGCCACCGGGAAAGTCGTCTGCCGGAACGGACTCTTAGTAATCCGAGATGACCCAGAAGGTGAGTCTCCGTTCCAGGGTTTCCCGTCTCAGGTGATCATATAGTCGCCTCCAATGCGGCTCCACAGCCAACTCACAGTGGAAGTCTACTATAGAGCCGCGTTTCTCAACCTTCCCAATTCCGCCACCCCTTAATGCAGGTCCTCATTTGGTGGTGACCCCCAACCAGAACATTATTTTGGTTGCTACTTCATAAATGTCATTTTGCTACTGTTATAAATTATCATGTAAATATCTGATATGCAGAATGTATTTGGTGGGGTTGGGGGTGACTGATTTTGTTATTTGGGAGTTGTAGTTGCTGGGATTTATAGATCACCTACAACCAGGAAGCATTCTGGACCCCACCAATGATAGAATTGGGCCAAACTTCCCACACAGAGACCCCCGTGACAAACAGAAAGGACTGGAGGGATTTGGGTGAATTGACAGTGATTTAGTGGAGACGTAGTTCACCTCCATCCAGAGAGCACTGTAAACCCAAACGACTATTCCAAATGGGTTCCTAAGACCATCAGAAATATGTGTTTTCGGATTGTCTTTGGCAACCCCTCAGAAACCCCCCTTGCGACCCCCAAAGTTGAGGCACACTGCTATAGAATCACCCGGAGGACCTGGAAAAGCCTTAGAGAAGACATGGGGTGTTTGTTTGTCTGTTTGCTTGGGCCAGTTCATACTATAACCACGTTCTGTTTGCACAGGTCTGGAGTTCCCTTGGGGCCCCCGGCCGTTTGGCGAGGTGGTTGCCGGCCCGCTGCTCCGGAATAGCGGCCAGTCGCAGGACAGCAGCCTCTTGGAGGGCTCCCACGTGGGGGTCTACTTCTCCGCACACTGGGTGAGCCACCCTTCCCGGCCCTTCCCAGGGCCAGCTCCATCCCCACCAGACAAGGGGTCTGGAGGAGGGGCCCCGATTCCAAAAGGAAACAACAACAACAACACTCTCAGCAACCACGGCAACTGCTCATAAGCTTTTCATGAGAGCAGGGACAAGCTCTCAAAGGAACAAAATACTTTATTGAATGAGCTGCAGTTGGGGCCTAGTTGTCCAATTATTAAGCTGCCTGCAGACATCTTGTTCCTCTCCATGCTCACAGGAGGACGGAAGGGCTTGCTATGCGCTCAGAGAAAGAGGAAAGGGAACAGGAGGAGAGAAGAGAGTGACAGGCAGGCAGAGAGGCCAGCGAGAGAAGGGCTTTCCCTTGCCAATAACAATAATAATAATAATAATAATAATAATAATAATAATAATAATCTTTATTTAATACCCCGCCACCATCTCCCCAATGGGGACTCGGGGCGGCTCACATGAGGCCAAGCCCAATAATAATAATAATAATAATAATAATAATAATAATAATAATAATTCTTTATTTATACCCCGCCACCATCTCCCCAATGGGGACTCAGGGCAGCTCACATGAGGCCAAGCCCAATAATAATAATAATAATAATTATTATTATTATTATTATTATTTATTTATTTATTTATTTATTTATTTATACCTGCCACCATCTCCCCAATGGGGACTCGGGGCGGCTCACATGAGGCCAAGCCCAATAATAATAATAATAATAATAATAATAATAATTCTTTATTTATACCCCGCCACCATCTCCCCAAGGGGACTTGGGGCAGCTTACATAGGGCCAAGCCCAATTGTGTACTAATTGTGTATTAGATTAGGTTGTTAACTGTTTTTTATATTGGTGCATTGAATTTTGCTGTTTCTTGTGTGTTGTGAACCACTGTGAGTTGCCTCCGGGCTGAGAACAGCGGTATAGAAGTAAAGTAAGTAAGTAAGTAAGTAAGTAAATAAATAATAACAATAATAATTTCTTTAATACCCTGCCACCATCACTCTCCCCAGTGTGGGAGACTCGGGGCGGCTCACATGAGGCCAAGCCCAACAGCATATTACAATGAAGTAAAACCAAAACACAATAACAACACAGTAAAATACATACAACATATGAGTACAAAAACAATAAAGCAAAGTCATACAAAATAACATAACATAACATAACAATGAGTGGGCTGCATGTGCAAGATAAAACTAAGATACTAAAATCAGGATGCGATATGGATGTAGCAGATTGTTTGTGGGGGAGAAACTCGTAAGGAGCGGGGTCATAAAACATAGACCAACCCACTCCCCTGTCTCTCTTGAAGTCCTCAATGAGGACTATAAACTTGTGCAGGATGGGGTTGAGTTCCATCAGCGCAGTCTCCAGCGGCTTCCCCGTTGGAAGATCTTGGTCAACCTGTTGGAAAGAGGGGAGGAAGGGGCTTGTTTACTCGACAGAGATGGACTCTGCCTCTCTCTTACTCCTTTGGGCAGTGCCCTCCTTGCAGGAGCCTTACCCGCGTCCTGGTGGAGTCCTACCGGAAAATCAAGGAAGCCGGGCAGAAGTTTGAGATCGTCTTTGTGAGCGCAGATAGGTAATTTATTTGTTTGTTTGTTTACAGTATTTATATACCGCCTTTCTCACCCCGGGGGGGGGGACGGGACTCAAAGCAAACTGGGCGGCCAAGCGGGGTCCATTCCACAGCCGCCTCCTTTTGCATTCTAATCATGTTCCTAGTCCCTAATGGTGTTTTTGGGCACTTTGGTGCCGTTTGGTGAGCCGTTCTCCACCTCGTTTGCAGGTCGGAAGAGTCCTTCAAGCAGTATTTCAGCGAGATGCCTTGGTTGGCCGTCCCGTACGCCGACGAGGCCCGTCGCTCGCGCCTGAACCGGCTTTACGGCATCCAAGGTAGGACCCCAGACGAGGCAGCCTTTCCCTTCCTTCCTTCTGTCCTTCCATCCTGCGATTCTGCCGCTTCTAGAAAAGGGTTTCTGGTTGACTCCCTTGGGTTTGCCTTTTTCCCTGTCGTGGTCAACTGTGAATCGCACATATGGTCGTTTCTGCCCCTGAGCAACATGGGTGTCCTTCATTACAAAATTCAAAAGTGTTCTTTCCTGTTTAATGGTGCGGTCCTTACTTTGGAAGTAGTAGTTCCCCTCCAGAAACTTCATTTTTGTGCCCGCCACAAATTAAGTTGAATTGGTTGAGACTCTATAATGAGAAACTCATTGCAAAACAGGAGCAAAATGCACTATAGTGGGATGTTCCACAAAAACAGGGGTTTTTTGCTGTTTGTGCAAAAATGTGTCTGCATGGGTTGTTGTGAGTGTTCCAGGCTGCCTGGCCATGCTCCAGAAGCATTCTCTCCTGACGTTTTGCCTGTCTCTATGGCTAAAGGCATCCTCAAAGGTTGTGAGGCTTTGTAAACAAGAGGAACGGAGGCAGAACCATAGTTAGAAAAGTCCCCCAAAGGCCAGCCAGTCCAACCCCAATTCCGCCACATAGGATTACACAACAATGGGGTTGTTGTGAGTTTTCCGGGCTGTCTGGCCATGCTCCAGAAGTATTCTCTCCTGACGTTTCGCCCGTATCTATGGCTAAAGGCATCCTCAGAGGTTTGAGGTCTTGTAAACAAGAGGAACAGAGACAGAACTATAGTTAGAAAAGACTCCCAAGGTCTAGCCAGTCCAACCCCAATTCTGCCACGTAGGAATACACAACAACAACAGGCCATGCTCCAGAAGCATTCTCTCCTGACATTTCACCCGCATCTATGACAGGCATCCTCAGAGGTTTGAGGCCTTGTAAACAAGAGGAACAGAGACAGAACCATAGTGAGAAAAGTCCCCCAAGGGCCAGCCAGTCCAACCCCAATTCTGCCACGTAGGCAGAATTGTTGTGAGTTTTCTGGGCTGCCTGGCCATGCTCCAGAAGCATTCTCTCCTGATGTTTTCCCCCCATCTCTGGCTAAAGGCATCCTCCGAGGTCGTGAGGTCTGTCTGCATGGGTTTTTGTTTCCCTTTTTCTTTTCCTTGGCTGGACAAGGGCTTTTGTTCTCCCCTTGCGCCTTGAAGGCATGTGTGTTTTCGAATGGGAGGAATATATATACATATACACACACACAAGACGCATGGACGTGCCTGAATGCACCCGTTCATAGAGAAGGAAGGGCGTGCTGCCTGCTCTTCCAACCCTTTCTGGACTTGTTTTTGTGGCCTTGGATGTTGCCTTGTAAGCCGCCTCGAGTCCCCGGAAGGCTGAGAAGGGCCGGTATACAAATATAGAGTCTATATAAATAAAAGGCCAAAAAACAAAAATTACATTACAACGCATGTGCAAAACCACATATATACACAAACACACATATATGCACACACAAAACACATATACACAGAAAGGGGCAAGAAAGGAAAGAAGGAGGGAGAGAAAAAGGGGGAAAAGGAGGGAAGGAGAGAAGGAAATACAAAAGTGAAAGAAGGCAGGAAAGAGAGGGAAGGAAGGAGAGGGAGGGAAGGGAAGAAGGAAAGAAAAGGTAAGAAGAAGGAAGGAGAAGGAAAGAAGAAAGAAGAAGGAAAGAAAAAAGGGAAGAAGAAAGGAAGAGAAGGAAGAAAAGAGAGAGGGAGAGAAGGAAAAGAAGAAAGAAAGGGAGAAGGAGAGAGGATGGAAGCAAAAAGTGAAAGAAGGAAAGAGGAGGAAGGAAGGAGAGAAGGAAGAAAAGAAAGAGGGAAGGAAAGAAAAAGAGAGAAGGAGAAGAAGAAAAAAAAGAAAGAAGGAAGGGGAAGGAAGGAGAGAAGGAAGAAGAATAAAAAAGTGAAAGAAGGAAGGAAGAGGGAGGAAGGAAGAAAAAAGAAAGAAAAAAAGGAAGAAGAGGAGAGGAAGAATAAAAAGGAAGAAGGAGAAAAAAAGGAAAGAAAGGTAGAGAGGAAGGAAAGAATAAAAAAGTGAAAGAATGAAGGAAAGAGGAAGGAAGGAGAGAAGGAAGAAAAAGAAAGAGGGAAAGAAGGAAAGGAAGGATGGAGAGAAGGAAATAAAAAGTGAAAGAAGTAAAAAAGGAAAGAAAGGTAGAGGAGGAAGGAGAGAAAGAATAAAAAAGTGAAAGAAGGAATGAAAGAGGGAGGGAAGGAGAGATGGAAGAAAGAGAGAAAGAGGGAGGGAGGGAAGGAAAGAAAGAAAGGTAGAGAAGGAAGGAAGGAGAGAAGGAAATAAAAAAGTGAAAGAAGGAAAGAGAGAGGAAGGAAAAAGACAAGGAAGCATGGAACCAAAGAGCAAAGGAAGCGAGCAAAGAGTAAAGGAAGTGAAGAAAGACACAGGTAGAAGAGGAAGAAAGAAGAAGGGAAAGAAAAAGAGGGAAGGAAGGAAGAAAGAAAGAAAGAGGGAGGGAGGGTTGGCCACAGCAACATGTGATGGGTACAGCTAGTAAATAAATAAAACAAATGGTGTTCTGACCAGCCCTTCATTCAAAACCATGAGGACTAGGAGCTCGCTTGGGCATTTAATTCCAAAGGCTGGGAGAAGAGGGTCCGGGAAGGAAGGAAGGAGAGGGCCAGGAAGAGAGAGGGAGAGTATTGGCCGCAGAGGGAGGAAATCCGATCCCGGGACAGCTGGGGCACAGGTGCCTCCGAGGAGGAGGAGGAGGAGGAGGAGACGGGCCTTCCCCCTCCACAACTGGGTCTCCAGGCCCTCAAAATGGGGGGAGGGTTGGAAAAAGCGGGCGGGGCGGGGCGGGGGGAAGCATTGCGATGGGCCAAGTGTCCGGGACGCAGCATTCCTCCCTCTGAAATTATCCGGTTGAGGGATAGTGAAAGGAATCCACCCATTAGAACAAGTCGTTGTCTGTTTTTGGATTTTAGGAACAGTCCCATTAGGAAACGCATAAGGATAGGGGTGGACTACAATTCCCATCATCCTCTGGTATTAACACACACACACACCCTAAACCCTGCCAGTATTTGTGTTGGTTTTGATGGGTCTGTGTGCAGAATTTCACCCGGGTCCATCGTCATTGGGGTTCACAGTGCGCTCTTTGCATCTGGGTGGGCTACAACTCCCATCATCCTGAGTCATTTTCATTCTTCCCCCTCAAAGAACAAATGTATATGTATGTATTTTAACTTACATGTATTTTAATCCATTGTGTTATGAATGTAGTTTTAAAATGTTTTATTATTTATTGTAATATATAATACTAATACTAATAATATGATATTATAATTATATATTTATATTACATGTAATGTTACTAATAATATTACAGTATATGATATTGTAATTATGTATTTATATTACATGTATTATTACTAATAATATTACAGTATAATATTACAGCCCGCCCATTGTTATCGTTACTGTGATCGTGTTTATTAGAATGTTATTTTATGACTGCTTTTTTTTCTTATGTAATTTTTATGTTATTGTTTGTTGTTTATGTTTTGATTTTATTGCTGTAGTATGTTTTCCGGGCTTGGCCCCATGGAAGCCGCTCCAAGTCCCCATCGAGGAGATGGTGGCGGGGTAGAAATAAAGATTATTATTATTATTATTATTATTATTATTATTATTATTGATACAGTACAATATAGCAATATTTAAACCTGATATTGTATTATACTAATCATATATTGTACGTATATATACCTTGTAAACCACTCTGAGTCCCCTTCGGGGTGAGAAGGGCACCATGTAAATGTTGTCAATAAATAAATAAATAAATAAATAATAGTAATAATAATAACAATAATAAATGTGTCTCCTGCAGTGGGCTAATAATATAATATATTGTATATACATATAATATTGATAACATTATAGTGTAATGCAATATAATACTACTAATAATATGATATTATAATTATATATTTATATTACATGTAATATTACTAATACTATTACAGTATAATTGATAACAGTACAATGCAGCAATATTTAAAACTGATATTGTACCATGCTAATAATATATTGTATGTATATATACCTTGTAAGCCGCTCTGAGTCCCCTTCAGGGTGAGAAGAGCGGCATAGAAATGTCGTAAATAAATAATAAATAATACATTTAGCATTGAATTTTTGCTGTTAGCCATTATGAGTTCCTCTACGGAGTTGTAAATAAATAAATATAAATAAAAAACAAAACAAAACAAAGCCTTCCACCAGTATTTCAAGGTGGTCACGATGGGTGTTTGGTCCAGATTCATAATAATAATAATAATAATAATAATAATAATAATAATAATAATCTTTATTTATACCCCGCCACCATCTCCCAGAGAGGGACTCTCTAGTGAATGAAATACATAATAATAATAATAATAATAATAATAATAATAATAATAATAATAACAACAACACTTTATTTGTACCCCGCTACCATCTCCCCAAGGGACTCGGTGCGACTTACATAAGGCCGAGCCCAAATACAACAATACAAGCAATAAAACAACAAAACAAGCAATAAAAATAGACAATAAAATCAAGCTTGCTGAAATCTGTAAAGATGTATAAGATAATGTCTGAATAATAATAATAATAATAATAATAATAATAATAATAATCTTTATTTCTACCCTGCCACCATCTCCCTGATGGGGACTCGGAGTGGCTTACATGGGGCCAAGCCCGGACAACATAATACAGCAATAAAATCAAAGCATATACATCAGACAATAACAACATTATCAAAATGACATTAAAATAATAATAGTAATGATAAAATAAAAATACCAATAGACACAATCACGATAGAGATGACAATGGACGGGCCACATATTCCGAATAAAGACAATTAACAGACTATGATGAGATGGAATAGGAGCAGGGAGTTTAAATGGAACTCATAGAACACACAGAGTTGTGGGGCAGAACATCCTACTTGGAGGACACGAGCGCCATTAGCCAATCGGTCTCAAAACCGAGTTATGAACATTTGACTTCCAAGCGACAACAAGTCAGGGGAATCTACTCTGGGAAGGGCGATTGTCAGGGGGGAAAGGGGCGCGGTGTAATCCTCGTGGGTGTTTCCTTGTGATGAGGGCTCTCCCTCCCTCCCTCCCGCTCTGCTCTCTCCTCCTCCTCCAGGGATCCCGACCCTCGTCGTCCTGGACCCCAAGGGGGAGGTGATCACCCGCCAGGGCCGGGTGGAGGTGCTCAACGACACCGAGTGCCGGGAGTTCCCCTGGTACCCCAAGCCCGTCCTGGAGCTGAGCGACTCCAACGCCGTCCAGCTGAACGAAGGCCCCTGCCTGGTCCTCTTTGTCGGTGAGGAATAGTCCTTCGTGCTTGGTCCTTCGTGCGCTGCCATGAGGGTGGCATTCGTAAACAAGGCTCCTCAAGCCTTTCAGGCCGAGGCCTGGTTCATTGTCCCTCAAGCTGTTGCAGGGTTGAACTATTGTGTGAGAAAAAACATGAACGAATCCTTCCTTATGAAGACTGCACATATTTGTGCTGCAAAAAAAATGAAAGAACAAACCAACATAAACGTCCCAGTGGGGCCAACATATTACAACAATAAAATCAAAGCATAAACAACAAATAACAACAACATAATCAAAATTACATTTAAAAAAACACCATTGGCAACACACTCCTAGAATCCTAGACTTGGAAGAGACCTGGTGGGCCATCATCCAGGACAATCGCATTCAAAGCACTCCTGACAGATGGCCATCCAGGCTCTGCTTCAAAGCCTCCAAAGAAGGAGCCTCCACCACACTCTGGGGCAGAGAGTTCCACTGCTGAACAGCTCTCACATAGAATCCTAGACTTGGGAGAGACCTGGTGGGCCATCATCCAGTCCAATCCCATTCTGCCACGAAGCAGGAAAATCGCATTCAAAGCACCCCTGACAGATGGCCACCCAGCCTCTGCTTCAAAGCCTCCAAAGAAGGAGCCTCGACCACACTCCGGCGCAGAGAGTTCCACTGCTGAACAGCTCTCCCAGTCAGGAAGTTCTTCCTCATGTTCAGATGGAATCTCCTCTCTTGAAGTTTGTTTACTAGCAAGATCTAGTGAGAAGATAATTGTACAGGCCGTCCCCGAGTTACAAACATCCGACTTAAAAAATGACTCCTAGTTAAGAATGGGAAGAGGAAGTGAGAGGAACCTACCCCTAGGAAGGGAAATTCACTCCTGGAAGAGTTATTATCAATGGGGAAAGGGGTCTGCAAGGAAGCTTTATCTCCAATCAGCTCTTCAAACGATAGGAAAGGAGATTCCACCTGAACCTGAGGAAGAACTTCCTGACTGGGAGAAAAAGAACTGTTCAGCAGTGGAACTCTCTGCCTCAGAGTGTGGTGGAGGCTCATTCTTTGGCGGCTGTGAAGCAGAGGCTGGGTGGCCATCTGCCAGGAGGGCTTTGAATGTGATTGTCCTGCTTCTTGGCAGAATGGGATTGGACTGGATGGCCCACCAGGTCTCTTTGAACTCTAGGACGCTCTGATTCTATGATTGTGATGATCAGGAAGTGCTTCTTCTTCTTTATATTCAGGTGGAATCACCTTTCCTGAACGCTGAACCCATTGCTCCATTAAGTCCTAGAATTTGAACTCTAGTCTCCTAGTCTACATCTTTCTTCAAACCTTAAAGGACACACAGTGCCTGATTCTTGTGGCAGCGAGTTCCATAAACCAACAACACCTTTATCTGCACACTTTTCGTGTATGTGTGTTTACAAGTGTCTTAAGCCTATGCTGTATATCCTTCTCAAGGGTTGGTTAAAGAGAGCTGTGGATACACACTTCTCAGGTGTGTGTGTGTGTGTGTGTGTTTAGGAGTCTCCTAAGCCTTTGCCGTACGTCCTTCTCAAGGGTCGGTTGACAAGAGCTGCGGATGCACACTTCTCGTGTGTGTGCGAGTGTGTTTGTGTGTGTTTAGGAGTGTCCTAAGCCTTTGCTGCACGTCCTTCTCAAGGGTCGGTTGACAAGAGCTGCGAATGCACACTTCTCGTGTGTGTGCGAGTGTGTTTGTGTGTGTTTAGGAGTCTCCTAAGCCTTTGCTGTATATCCTTCTCAGGGGTTGGTTAAAAAGAGCTGTGGATGCACACTTCTCATGTGTGTGTGTGTGTGTTTGTGTGTGTTTAGGAGTGTCCTAAGCCTTTGCCATACGTCCTTCTCAAGGGTCAGTTGAGAAGAGCTGTGGATCCACACTTCTCGTGTGTGTGTGAGTGTGCTTGTTTACAAGTGTCCTAAGCCTTTACTGTACCTCCTTCTCAAGGGTCAATTGACAAGAGCTGTGGATGCACACTTCTTGTGTGTGTTTGTGTGTGTTTACAAGTCTCCTAAGCCTTTGCCATATGTCCTTCTCAAGGGTCGGTTGACAAGATCTGCAGATGCACACTTCTCATGTGTGTGCAAGTGTGTTTGTGTGTGTTTGGGAGTGTCCTAAGCCTTTGCAGTACGTCCTTCTCAAGGGTCGGTTGACAAGAGCTGTGGATGCACACTTCTCATGTGTGTGCAAGTGTGTTTGTGTGTGTTTACAAGTGTCCTAAGCCTTTGCTGCACGTCCTTCTTGGGTCAGTTGACAAGAGCTGTGGATGCACACTTCTCCTGTGTGTGTGTGTTTGTGTGTGTTTAGGAGTGTCCTAAGCCTTTGCTGTATATCCTTCTCAAGGGTTGGTTAAAAAGAGCTGTGGTTGCACACTTCTCAAGTGTGTGCAAGTGTGTTTGTGTGTGTTTAGGAGTGTCCTAAGCCTTTGCCGTACGTCCTTCTCGAGAGTTGGTTGACAAGAGCTGAGGATGCACACTTCTCATGTGTGTGTGAGTGTGTTTGTGTGTGTTTAGGAGTGTCCTAAGCCTTTGCTGTATATCCTTCTCAAGCGTCGGTTGACAAAAGCTGTGGATGCACACTTCTCGTGTGTGCGCGAGTGTTTACAAGTCTCTTAAGCCTTTGCCGTACGTCCTTCTCAAGGGTCGGTTGACAAGAGCTGCAGGTGCACACTTCTCGTGTGTGTGTGTGTGTTTGTGTGTGTTTAGGAGTGTTCTAAGCCTTTGCCGTACATCCTTCCCCAGGGTCGGTTCATAAAAGCTGTGGATGCTCACTTCTTGTGTGTGTGCGAGTGTGTTTGTGTGTGTTTACAAGTCTCCTAAGCCTTTGCCATATGTCTTTCTCAAGGGTCGGTTGACAAGAGCTGCGGATGCACACTTCTCGTGTGTGCGAGTGTGTTTGTGTGTGTTTAGGAGTGTCCTAAGCCTTTGCTGTATGTCCTTTTCAAGGGTCAGTTGACAAGAGCTGTCCCAACCATTCCCGAATTTAGGAACAAGAGAAGTTCTGTTGGTTTCTTCTTAAGTTTGGAGGTCTTGAGGTGCTGGTTGCTGTCCATTAGTTTCATTCCAAGTGTGTGTGCTTGTAAGTCAGGACAGGCACATTTTCGAGTGTAACTCCAGCCAACTGGCCGACTGCGAGGCCCCTCTTGGGAATGCTCCTCTGGGCAAATCCTGCGGGTACAAAAGATGAGACGTCCTCCTTCCCGGGCGCGCTCTCTGCTCTCCCCGGGGGACGTTGTACGTTAATAGGATGAGCCGTCGTCCAAACCTTCACACAATGGCCGCCCGGCGTGTCGCCGACATCCTTGCCGTCAGGCCCCAGCTGTGCCTCAATGCCGACCCCTGGAGCGCTGGGCCAATCCTTTTGCTTCTGAATGGATGGGCGCGCACACAAGTCGCTTCCCCGCATAACGAATTCATTGGCTTTTCCGTGTGATCTGGCTTCTTAACGGGTGACTTCCTCCTTTCCGACGCCCGGCGTGGAGATCCCCTTCTCCCCTGGACACGTGGATTTCATTACGGTCTCAGATCACTAAGGAAACAGTAAAACCAGAGATAGTAAAACCCATAGTTTGTGTCTCTTCGGTGGGTTTCTGTGTTCTCTGTGCAACAGATTGTTCCTTGGGAGGCAGGAAAAGGAACGGTTCATTCCCACACATTCAGATATTATGGGATGGATCTCATGCAAATCAGTGGCGCGCAATGGCTTCCCATTTAGTGGCTTTTCGTTGCACGGATTTTCCTCCCCTTCCAGGCACCGTCTCTTGTTGTGTTTGGGGGGAAGGAATGCACAGTCAATGCACACACGTGGGGAGAGCGATTGATGGGTGTTGGGTTTCATCCCTCGAGTGCACAAGTCTCTTGTGTCACCACGTCCTCCTGGTCAGTCGCAAGGCCGAACAAGGTATAGGGTCGCAACCTGTGCTGGACGGGGTCACACTCCCCTTGAAGGCACACGTTCACAGCTTGGGAGTTCTCCTGGACTCCTCCCTGAGCCTGGAATCCCAGGTGGCAGCGGTGGCCAGGGGAGCGTTCACACAATTAAAACTTGTGCGCCAGCTGCGCCCGTACCTTGGGAAGTCAGACTTGGCTGCAGTGGTCCACACTCTCTCATTACATTTAGGATAGACTACTGCAACACACTCTATGTGGGGTTTCCTTTGAAGACTGCTCAGAAGCTTCAACTAGTCCAACGAGAGGCAGCCGGGTTAATAACTGGGGCGGCATACAGGGAGCACACCACTCCCATGTTACGCCTGGCTGTCAGTTTGCTACCAGGCACAATTCAAAGTGCTGGCTTTGGCCTATCAAGCCCTCAACGGCCCCGGCCCAATTTATCTGTCCGAACGCATCTCCCCCTATGAACCATCGCGGAGATTAAGATAGTTCGGGGAGGCCCTGCTTTCCGTCCCGCCATTGGTGGGGACGAGAGACAGGGCCTTCTCGGTGATTGCTCCCCGGCTATGGAACTCCCTTCCTGGTGAGATCAGGTCAGCCCTCTCCCTCCTGTCCTTTAGAAGGATGGTCAACACTTGGCTGTGGGACCAAGCTTTCGGGACAGGGCAATGAAGCGACAATGGGAAAGATGACCAGGCCAATTAAATTTTTTAATGTTTATGTATTGTGTGTGAATCTGTGTCCCGGCATTGAATGTTTGCTGTGTATATGCTGTGCTCCGCTCTGAGTCCCCTTCAGGGTGAGAAGGGCGGGATATAAATGTTTTAAATAAATAAATAAATAAATAATAAGGCTCCAGACCTCAATGAGTAGCTAGACTAGAGGTAGGATTCCAGTGAGGGGCTCCTCCCCCCACATTCCCATGCAAGCTTTCCCAGACAAGGCTTTGGCTTCACTCACTCTTCTCCTCCCTTTGAAGAAGTCGCAATGGAATCTTTACGAGCGAAGTTCCTTTTTTGAAGGTATTTTTATTGCTCTGGGATCAATTCGTCATGTTCCTGCTCTCTTCTGCCTTTTTTTCCTTTCAGTGAATATGCATTTTGCCTCTTTTTTAAGGCAAAATGTAGCTACATGGATATTTTTTTTTTACTTTTTATCTCCTTTAGAAGATGAGACTTAGTAAGCTAGTGAACTCCAAAATCTTTTCTATCAAGAATGTATTTCTTTTGCTTCAATAAATATTTTTGAACGTAAAGTTCTGACTGCCCTCCTTATTCCATTTCACCTCATGTAAGTTTCTGCTGGTTATGAAGTTTGCTTCTGATATTTTGCTATCTTAATGGTGGAATCGCCCTAAATGAAGGTTATTTCTGAGCCTAACAGCTCAGATTCCCCAACCAAGGGTTATGGGCCCAGCACGCTTCTGCTGCACCTCTCTGCTATATTAATGGTAGAATCACCCCAACTGAGGGTTATTTCTGACCCTAATATCTCAAGATTCTCCAACCAAGGGTTATGGGCCCAGCATGCTTCTGCTGCACCACTCTGCTACATTTATGTTGGAATCACACCAACTGAGGGTTATTTCTGAGCCTAATATCTCAAGATTCCCCAACCAAGGGTTATGGGCCCAGCATGCTTCTGCTGCACCTCTCTGCTATATTAATGGTAGAATCACCCCAACTGAGGGTTATTTCTGAGCCTAGTATCTCAAGATTCTCCAACCAAGGGTTATGGGCCCAGCATGCTTCTGCTGCACCTCTCTGCTACATTTATGTTGGAATCACACCAACTGAGGGTTATTTCTGAGCCTAATATCTCAGGGGAACCTGCTTGGCTAATGATGGAATGGCTCCATGTTTAACCTGCTTCTCTGTCTGTGCCGCAGATTCCGACGATGACGGCGAGTCCGAGGCGGCCAAGCAGTTGATCCAGCCCATCGCCGAGAAAATAATTGCCAAATACAAAGCCAAAGACGAAGAGGCGCCGCTGCTGTTTTTCGTGGCCGGAGAGGTAAAAGGGAACACCTGGTGGGGCTGATTTGTGTGGCATCGGGGTCACCAGAACTGGTTTTGTGGGGCCTTACTGCCCTAAGTGGCCAAAGTCCAAGTTTAATGTAGCATCGTAAGCACTGTTGTTTATCTGGTTGCTTCTTTTTTATCTGTATCCCACTTTCCTTGCTTTAGAGCAATTTTCTCCCCATTTTTTGTCCCCACAACAACCCTGCAAAGTAGATCAGGTGTCTTCCGATGCTTTGGGAACGAGGCCCGCTAAAAATTAGTTTTGCAGGAGCTTTCCAACGTTTGGAGCCTGGAAGAAGCAATGACATAAAGCAATGACTTCCCGTACCTTGGGAAGTCTTGACTTGGCCACGGTAGTACACGCTCTGGTTACATCCCATATAAACTACTGCAATGCGCTCTACGTGGTGTTGCCTTTGAAGACAGTCTGGAAGCTTCAATTAGTCTAACGAACGGCAGCCAGACTGCTCACAGGAGTGGTTCTCAGGGAGCATACAACTCCCCTGGTTGCCGGTTTGCTACCGGGCCCAATTCAAAGTACTGGTCTTGACCTATAAAGCCCTAAACGGTTCTGGCCCAACTTACCTGTCTGAACGAATCTCCCCTTATGAACCATCAAGGACCTTGAGATCATCCGGGGAGGCCCTGCTCTCGGTCCCGCCTTCGTCTCAGGCACATTTGGTGGGGACGAGAGAAAGGGCCTTCTCAGTGGTGGCCCCCCGGCTATGGAATGCCCTCCCTAGAGAGATTAGATCTGCTCCCTCCCTCCTTACATTTGGGAAGCAAGTCAAAACGTGGTTGTTTGAGCAAGCGTTTACAAACACAGAGTAACGGATATGGATAAATGATATAGGAAATGGACGATTGACGATGGAACTGGACAATGCTTGACAATAAGGAGACGCCAATGATGTTGTTTTTATTGTTGTGGTTTATGTAATGGTCATGTTTTAATATGTTCTATGATACTGTGTATACTGTTTTGTTGGAAACCGCCTTGAGTCGCTGATAGGCTGAGAAAGGCGGGATACAAATACAGGAAATAAATAAATAAATAAATAATCGATGCGGACGGGCGCTCTTTGCCTTCCAGGAACCCCTTTTGTGTGGCTCCGGAGAAGGGAGTCCTTTGCCCACGCAGCTCTGGGAGGCCTGAATGTGCCCCTTTGTTGGGAAGAGCGGGCTCCCAAACAAAGGTCCTTCCCCCTAAGAGCCTCCCCAAATCGCCCCGGGGAAATATATTCCTCCCCTTCTCGAGGCTTCCATTTTTTCCAAGCCCTTTCTCACAGAAACAGGGACAAAACAACACTGGCCTTCATTCATTCCGGAGCGCCATCTGCTTCCCGGCTCCTCCTCGACCGACCCACGGAGCCCTGAATGACCCATTCATCACCTCCTGGAAGGATTTACGGGCGCTGCTGCGGCTGGCAAGGTGGAGCTGGCCTTCTGGACTCATTTGTGTCTTGAGCCCATGCCTGCTTTAGAATCAATACACAATAGAGAAGCAAGGAGGTGGGCAAACACCTTCTGTGGGTCAGCGAGACCCTCCTCTTGGGAGGTGACCCTCTGCCGACCCTGTCCAACAAAGAGCCCAGCCCCCCTTGAGCTCCATCCCCACCCCATTCCCCTAAAATTTACCAGATTTCACGGATTTCCCTTCCTAGTTTGAAAACTATGAAGCTCCATTCTTTCCTCCTCCTTTGCTTCCTCCAAGGCCTTAAGGCAGTTCAGGTAAAGGTTTTCTCCTTGACTTTAAGTCCAGTCTTGTCTGACTCTGGTGCTCATCTCCATCCATTTCTAAGCCCAAGAGCCGGCGTTGTCCGTTGACGCCTCCAAGGTCATGTGGCCATTGGCATAACTGCATGGAGCGTCATTACCTTCCTGCAGAAGCGGTACCTATGGATCTACTCACATTTGCATGTTTTCAAACTGCTAGTTTGGCAGAAGCTGGGGCTGACAGCAGGAGCTCACCCCACTCTGCGGATTCTACAGCGTTGTCTGTAGACACCTCCAAGGTCACGTGGCCAGCATGGCTGTGTGGAGTGCCGTTATCCATAACTGATAACATATAATGATATACGTTTATAATAATAATAATAATAATAATAATAATAATAATAGGAGGTGGAGGAAAAGGTCTTTTTGTGGATGTCCCGATAACTCTTTCGACTAAATAGTAGTAATAATAAATACAACAACAATAATAATAACAACAGGAGGAAAAGGTTTTGTTCTGGATGTCCCAATAACTCTTTCGACTAGACAGTAGTAATAATAAATACAACAACAACAACAACAACAACAACAACAATAATAATAATAGGAGGAGGAGGAGGAGGAAAAGGTCTTGTTGTGGATGTCCCGATAACTCTTTCGACCAGACAGTAGTAATAATAAATAGAATAATAATAATAATAACAACAGGAGGAGGAGGAGGAGGAGGAGGAAAAGGTCTTGTCGTGGATGTCCCAATAACTCTTTCGACTAGACAGTAGTAATAATAAATAAAGTAATAATAAATAGAATAATAATAATAATAATAATAGGAGGAGAAGGAAAAGGTCTTGTTGTGGATGTCCTGATAACTCTTTCGACTAGACAGTAGTAATAATAAATAAATAATAATAATAATAATAATAATAATAATAATAATAGACGGAGGAAAAGGTCTTGTTGTGGATGTCCCGATAACTCTTTCGACTAAACAGTAGTAATAATAAATAGAATAATAATAATAATAATAATAGGAGGAGGAGGAGGAGGAGGAAAAGGTCTTGTTGTGGATGTCCTGATAACTCTTTCGACCAGACAGTAGTAGTAATAATAATAATAATAATAATAATAATAATAATAATAATAGGAGGAAAAGGTCTTGTTGTGGATGTCCTGATAACTCTTTCGACTAGACAGTAGTAATAATAAATAGAATAATAATAATAATAATAATAATAATAATAATAATAATAATAATAATAATAATAGGAGGAGGAGGAAAAGGTCTTGTTGTGGATGTCCCGATAACTCTTTCGACTAAACAGTAGTAATAATAAATAGAATAATAATAATAATAATAATAATAATAATAATAATAATAATAGGAGGAGGAGGAGGAGGAGGAAAAGGTCTTGTTGTGGATGTCCTGAAAACTCTTTCGACCAGACAGTAGTAGTAATAATAATAATAATAATAATAATAATAATAATAATAATAATAGGAGGAAAAGGTCTTGTTGTGGATGTCCTGATAACTCTTTCGACCAGACAGTAGTAACAATAAATAATAATAATAATAATAATAATAATAATAATAATAATAATAGGAGGAGGAGGAGGAGGAAAAGGTCTTGTTGTGGATGTCCTGATAACTCTTTCGACCAGACAGTAGTAACAATAAATAATAATAATAATAATAATAATAATAATAATAATAATATAATAATAATAATAATAATAATAATAATAATAATAATAATAATAATAGGAGGAGGAGGAGGAGGAGGAGGAGGAGGAAAAGGTCTTGTTGTGGATGTCCTGATAACCCTTTCCACCAGACAGTAGTAATAATAAACTGTTTTATTATTGTATACTTGAAGTTGTGATATTTTTGATTCTGAGCTGCTTTGAGTCTCCGTATGGAAAGATAAAGCAGGAAATAAATAAATAGGTCTGAAAAGCCCTTCAAACAGAAAGGGGCTTTTTTCTTGGCCTTCCCAAAACCGGTCTAACCAGGTTCCCTCCCTTTGCTTGTATTTCCGCAGGACGACATGACCGACTCCTTGCGGGATTACACCAACCTCCCGGAGGCCGCCCCGCTCCTCACCATCCTGGACATGTCGGCCCGCGCCAAGTATGTCATGGACGTGGAGGAGATCACGCCCGACATCGTGGAGGCCTTTGTCAACGACTTTCTGGCGGACAAACTGAAGCCCGAGCCCATCTAAAGCGGAGCGGCGCTTTCCCTCCTCGGACTTTATTTAAATAACAATTGCCAAGCTTGGTGCAGAAACGCGACTCTCTTTCATGACAGTATTTTGGAAAACACTCCTCTCGATTTGACTCTTCTAAAGGTGCTGAAGATGCGGGGAGATGCCTTCAAAGCAGCAGGGAGATCTTCTCACGTGGACGCCATCCTTGTTTACATACGGCGAAGCTTGGCGTTCATCCGTACGAGACAAAGCAATAAGCCCAATGGTGGGTAAGAAAGAAGTACGTCTTCATTGATAGATGCAAGGTCTCGTTGCTGTCGAGTTTCTTTTGTTCGAGAGGAAAATGTCCTTCAACTTCTCGAGCCACGCACCCACGCTTCCCGTATGTCGATGACAGGAGAAGGTGGTCCATTTTTCCATTGCGGCCCCAAAGCTAAGCCAATTGGACTCTTTGACGCCGGTTTCTATTTCTTTGCCTCGTTGAACTTTTCTCGCTTCTGGGTTGAACGTAGCAAAAGCGGGAGAAGTCTATTGTGTCCAAAGCCTTGGAAGAAAAGGTAAGTGGGAGGGAACTTGAGAAACAGCCCTCGTCGTCGAAGCACAGACGTTCCGGATCATGAAACCCGCCTTGAATCCCGGGATCGGTTTGGGCATTTTACCCCCTTCCTTCACCCTTCCTCTCCCCCTTCCATGTTCACCCAGAGATTTGTACTCAAAGCACGCAGGGGGGAAATTGTAAAAAACTGTACATGGCGATGGGAAATTTGTAATAAAAACCATTCTGGTCACCAAACGTGTCAGCAGCGTGGTTTGCAACAAATGCGATGACACTTACAGACTAAAGTTTAGCATGTCTTAGAGCAGTGTTTCTCAACCTGGGGGTCAGAACACCTGGAGGGTTCGCAAGGGGGTGTCAGAGGGGTCGCCAAAGACCATCAGAAAACCGTATTTTCTGTTGGTCATGGGGATTCTGTGTGGGAATTTTGGCCCAATTCAATCATTGGTAGGGTTCAGAATGCTCTTTGATGGTAGGTGAACTATAAATCCCAGCTACTACAACTCCCAAATGTCAAGGTCTGTTTCCCCTAAACTACACCAGTGTTCTCATTTGGGCATTTTGAGTATTCATGCCAAGTTTGGTACAGATCTATCATTGTTTGAGTCCACAGTGCTCTCTGGATGTAGGTGAACTACAGCTGCAAAACTCAAGGTCAATGGCCACCCTTCCAGTATTTTCTCCTGGTCATGGGAGTTCTGTGTGCCAAGTTTGGTTCAGTTCCCTCGTTGGTGGGGTTCAGAATGCCCTTTGATTGTAGGTGAACTATAAATCCCAGAAACTACAACTCCCATGGGATAAAATCAACCCCCCCCCCCCCCACCAACCCTACCAGTATTCAAATTTGGGCGCACTGGGTATTTGTGCCAAATTTGGTCCAGTGAATGAACGTACATCCTGCATATCAGATATTTACATTACGATTCACAACAGCAGCAAAATGACAGTTATGAAGTAGCAACAAAAATAATTTTATGGTTGGCGGGTCACCATAACACGAGGAAGAGTATTAAGGGGTCGTGGCATTAGGAAGGTTGAGAACCACTGTCTTAGAGAAAAGGAGCGAAATGATTCCCTGAATGTTAAGCTGAATCCAAAACCCTGCTACCCAAATGCTACACAAGCTGAGCTGGGCAAACTTTGCAGCCTTGTAAATCTGATTTTTGGGGGGCATGTAGTTCAACCTCAGTGCAGAGAAAGTGGGCTCTTGCCATTCCTTATTTCCTACTTGACTTGAGGCCTAATGGGCCTGGTTCTGCTTTACAAGTTGAGCACCACAAAGCATGTTTTGGGGCTGATTTGGGAGCCCTACATGACTCAGTTTCCAGCAGGATGCTTTTTCCACACCCCACCTTCTCCTTTGGCACAAAACCTGGTTGCTGTGACATGTCTTCAACTCCACCCGCATGACTGGGAATCCTATTACGGTACATAAACATACTGCCATCTCGTGGCAAAAATGCACTTTTCTTACCATTTCGTTGCTGACCAAAAACAATACAGATTAGCCAATGAGGTTAAGTGGTTTGTGAATGTTAAGACTGGGTTTTGATGAGATACCCCATTTGGGCAAGTCATACTCTCTCAGCCTCTGAGGAAGGCAATGGCAAAGGCTTGGAACAAGTCTGGCTACCCCCACCCCCCTCAAAAAGTGATATATGTTGAATGTGTTGTTTTGGATCTTTAACTCGTTTCCAAAGACAAACACATCAAAGGTTGGTCCATACAATGGAAGTTGTAGCCTTTGACTCAAACCACAACTTTTGAAGGCAAGTGACCTAGAATCATAGAATCCTAGAGTTGGAAGAGACCTCCTGGGCCATCATCCAGTCCAACCCCCTTCTGCCAAGAAGCAGGAATATTGCATTCAAATCACCACTGACAGATGGCCATCCAGCCTCTGTTTCAAAGCTTCCAAAGAAGGAGCCTCCACCACACTCCCTCCGGGGCAGAGAGTTCCACTGCTGAACAGCTCTCACAGTCAGGAAATTCTTCCTCATGTTCAGGTGGAATCTCCTCTCTTGTAGTTTGAAGCCATTGTTCTGCATCCTAGTCTCCAAGGCAGCAGAAAACAAGCTTGCTCCCTCCTCCCTATGACTTCCCCTCACATATTTATACATGGCTATCATGTCTCCTCTCAGCCTTCTCTTCTTCAGGCTAAACATGCCCAGCTCCTTAAGCCGCTCCTCATAGGGCTTGTTCTCCAGACCCTTGATCATTTGAGTCGCCCTCTTTCTCTGGACACATTCCAGCTTAGAGTCAATATCTCTCTTGAATTGTGGTGCCCAGAATTGGACACAATATTCCAGGTAAAGTGGTCTAACCAAGGCAGAATAGAGGGGTGGCATTGCTTCCCTAGATCTAGACACCTATGTATATGAACACCAAAGTAGCATTTCAAACTACCTTTTTCAGGGATGTAAACCTAGCTGGGCAATGGAGAAGTCTCCCTTTGGGTATACTGGGACTGTGGCGCAGCTGGCTAGGAGTCAGCTGCATTACAATCACTTCTGACCAAAATGAGTTCGAAGCCAGCCCGGGTCGGAGTGAGCTCCCAGCTAATTGTGTAGCATGTTGTCGACCTTTGCAACCCAAAAGACAGTTGCATCTGTCAAGTAGGAAAATAAGGTACCACCTATGTGTGGGGAGGCTAATTTATGAGGCCATAAAAAAAACTCCAGCAAAGCATGCGGAGGATGCGGAAGTACTTCATGTTGCAGATGGATGATGAAAGCGACAACTTTCCCTGGCGGCCAAAAAAAAGTTAAATAGCCTCTGTCTGTCTATATGTGTTGTGTGTCTTTGGCATTGAATGTTTGCCATATATGTGTACATTCTAATCTGCCCTGAGTCCCCTGGAAGGTGAGAAGGGCGAAATAGAAATACTGTAAATCAGGGATCCTCAAACTATGGCCCGAGGGCTGGATACGGCCCTCCAAAGTCATTTACTCAGCCCTCACTCAGAGTCAACTAAGTCTGAAATGACTTGAAAGCACACAACAACAATCCTATCTCATCAGCTAAAAGCAGGCCCACACTTCCCATTGAAATACTAATAAGTTTATATTTGTTAAAATTGTTCTTCATTTTAATTATTGTATTGTTTTTAAGTGTTTTTGCACTACAAATAAGATATGTGCAGTGTACATAGGAATTCATTCCTTTTTTTCCAAATTATAATCCGGCCCTCCAACAGTTTGAAGAACTGTGACCTGGCCCTCTGTTTAAAAAGTTTGAAGACCCCTGCTGTAAATAAATAATACATGATATGTGACCCAAAAGGCCTCTCCTGGCCTGCGGAAACAGGATTCTGAAGTGGGAAAGTGAGTCCAGCCTGGTTTTGCCAATTGCTACAGCTCTGACCTGTTACCCCCCCTCAGAAACCAAGAGGAAAAGACACAGACAAGACCGAAAAGGAGCAAATAAGCAGTTTTTCATCTGGTTTAAACACATTTGGAAGCCATCCGTGTGAGACTGAAACATCCCAGAAAACGGGACATATTTTCCAAAGAGAGGGGTTTGCACGCCCAGCATGGAAATGAAAGGAGGGAACGACAACAGAGCCAGGAAGTGGCACAAACCGGCCTGAACAAACAGTACGGGGTGGGAAGAGGAAGGAAGGAAGGAAGGAAGGAAGGGAGCGACGGAGGGAGCGCAGGTCATGCTGCATCCAAATCCGTCGAGGCCAAATACTCCAGCAAAATCATATTTTATGTCCCTTTCCTGCTGCTTTGAAAACGCAAGAGCCATTTCGTTGGGTGTGGAGTGTCGCCAGGCCGTTTGGGGCGATGTATTCCTCAGCGTCCTCATTTGGAGACACGGGCCTCTTCGATTGGCTGCATCCACCGCAGCTGGCGCTTGGCCTCGAAGAGCAGGATGCTGGCGGCCATGGCGGCGTTGAGGCTGTCCACTCCGGGGGCGATGGGGATGAGCAGCCGCCTCCCTCCCGTGTCCTGCGCCAGGCGCACGGCCTCCTCGCTCACGCCGTGGGTTTCCCCCCCAATCACCACCGCCACGGAAAGGTCCATCCACGGATCGTAGCAGCACTGCGCTTCCACCCCTTCCTCGTCCTCCCAGCTGTCCACATCGCGGTCCCACTCTGCCCGGGGTTTCAGGCCGGAGGGCCGGGAGACCCAGCCGTGGCTGCAGGCCTTGGAGGGCGAGGGCGGCCCCATCTCCGTTTGGGGCCCGGCAGCATGGGAGCCGTCAGCCACGTGGACGCAGGTTTCGGGGAGGAGGTAGTTGGGCACCAGGTCCCACTCCAGGTTGGACACAATGGGGAGGCGGAAGTGGGCCCCCATCCCCGCCCGCAGGACCTTGGGCTCCCAGGCGTCAACGCAGCCTGAAGAAAGAGAAGGAAGGGGGCATTGGGACAGGATTCCAGGCACCACGGAAGAAACGCATCCCACTCCCCTACGGTTCAAGGAGAAGGCTAAGCAGGAAGACACCATCCAAGCCCTCCTGAGAGATGGCCATCCAGCCTCTGCCTAAACGAGACAGAAGGAGACCCCTCTGGACCCCAAGGACATAACAATACTTCCTAATGTTCAGGTGGAATCCCAGTCCTGCCTCCTTCCGCCATGCAGGAAGACACCATCCAAGCCCTCCTGAGAGATGGCCATTCAGCCTCTGCCTAAACGAGGCGGAAAGAGACCCCACAGGACTCTGTGGAAGCAACAAGTTCTACTCTCCAACAGGACTGTTTTTGTATAGTTCAGGTGGAATGCCAGGCAGGAAGACACCATCCAAGCCCTCCTCACAGATGGCCATCCAGCCTCTGCTTCAAAATCTCCAGAAGGAGATTTCACCACCATCCATTTCCCCTTGTTTCCATCCTGAAGACACCATCCAAGCCCTCCCCAACGGATGTCCATCCAGCCCCTGCTTAAAATGAGACAGGAGAACCCAAGGAAGCAACAAGTCTCACTCCCCAGCAATTCTTCCTGATGTTCAGGTGGAATCCCAGTCCRGCCRCCTTCTYCCATGCAGGAAGACACCYTCCAAGCCCTCCTSASAGATGGCCATRCAGCCRCTGCRTAAAKWGAGYCYGAAAGAYACRCCACWGGACTCTGTGGAAGCAACAAGTTCTACTCTCCAACAGGACTGTTWTTYTATAGTTCAGGTGGAKTGCCAGGCAGGAAGACACCATCCAAGCCCTCCTGAGAGATGGTCATTCAGCCCCTGCTTAAAACAAGACAGAAGGAGACCCCTCTGAACCCCAAGGACACAACAATTCTTCCTAATGTTGATGTGGAATCCCACTCCTACCCCCTTCTGCCACACAGGAAGACACTATCCAAGCTCCCCTGACACCATCCAAGCCTTCCTGAGAGATGGCCGTTCAGTCTCTGTCTAAACAAGATGGAAAGAGACTCCACAGTTCTACTCCCCAACAGGACTGTCTTCGTATAATTCAGGTGGACTGACAGGCAGGAAGACACTATCCAAGCCCTCCTGAGAGATGGCCATCCAGCCTCTGCCTAAACGAGACAGAAGGAGACCCCTCTGGACCCCAAGGACACAACAATTCTTCCTAATGCTCAGGTGGAATCCCAGTCCCACCCCCTTCTGCCAGGCAGGAAGACACCGTCCAAGCCCTCCTGAGAGATGGCCGTTCAGCCCCTGCTTAAAACGAGACAGAAGGAGACTCCTCTGGACCCCAAGGACACAACAATACATGCCTGAGAAATGGCCATCCAGCCTCTGCCTAAACAAGAAGGAAAGAGACCCCACAGGACTCTGTGGAAGCAACAATTTCTACTCTCCAACAGGACTGTTATTGTATAGTTCAGGTGGACTGCCAAGCAGGAAGACACCATCCAAGCCCTCCTCAGAGATGGCCATCCAGCCTCTGCTTCAAAATTTCCAGAAGACTTCACCACCATCAATTTCTCCTTGTTTCCAACTTGAAGACACAATCCAAGACCTCCCCGACAGATGCCCATCCACTCCTGAGACAGAAGGAGAACCCAAGGAAGCAACACGTCTCACTCCCCAACAATACTTCCTAATGTTCAGGGGGAATCCCAGTCCTGCCCCCTTCTGCCATGCAGGAAGACACCATCCAAGCCCGCCTGACAGATGGCCATCCAGCCTCTGTCTAAACGAGGTGGAAAGAGACCCCACAGGACTCTGTGGAAGCAACAAGTTCTACTCTCCAACAGGACTGTATTCCCATAGTTCAGGTGGAATGCCAGGCAGGAAGACACCAAGCCCTCCTGACAGATGGCCATCCAGCCTCTGCTTCAAAATGTCCAGAAAACTTCACCACCATCCATTTCCCTTTGTTTCCATCTTGAAGACAGCACCCAAGCCCTCCCCAACAGATGCCCATCCACTCCCTGCTTAAAATGAGACAGAAGGAGAACCGAAGGAAGCAACAAGTCTCACTACCCAGCAATTCTTCCTGATGTTCAGGTGGAATCCCCTTTCGCCATGCAGGAAGACACCATCCAAGCCCTCCCGACAAATGGCCTCTCTTAAAAACCTCCAGAAAAGGAGACTTCATTCCTTTTCCCTTGAATGTTTTCATCCTGAAAGTGCATAGGACCCTCGAGTTGGAAGGGGCCCTCCAAGGGCCATCCAGTCCCACCTCCCCCTCTTGCCAAGCTGAAGGCACCATCAAAGCCCTCCCTAGAGATGGTGGCCAGGCCCTGCTTTAGAAACCCCTGCTTTTACCCCAGCCTCGTTCCACTGCCCACCTTTGACAAGCAGCACGCGGCTGCATCCTGCTCCGGCCGCCGACCTCAAGATAGTGCCCAGGTTCCCGGGGTCGCGGATGTTGTCGCAGATGAGGGAGAGGGGCAGCTGGTGCTCTTTTGGGACCTCGGGGTAAGTCATCTTGGCATGATCCGGCCTGGAGAAGATCCCTGCAGAGAACAGAGGCAGGCAGGATTCATCAAATGGCACCAGAAAGACGAGGCACCAGCACAGGACTGTGAAAATCACTTGAGGATAACCATATATGTCACGAGAAGAGATGGGACATAAATGCAAATAATGCCTCATGTGGCCAATGAAGCTCGCTTTGGGCAAATTGCATTATTTCAGCCTCTGAGAAAGGCAAACCTCCATGAAATAAATTATACCAAGAAAAACTCGCAACAGGTTTGCCTCACAGTGGCCCAAAGTCAAAATAATAATGAGATGGCAGCTGAACATATTATATATATATATATATAATATTATAATGTAATGAAATATAACACTAATAATAATATGATATAATTATATATTTATATAACATGTAATATTAATAATTTTACAATATAATAGTATAATATAGTAATATTTAATACTGATATTGTACTATGCTGATAACATAATATATTGTTTTATATATATATGAGACAATACAACAACAATATATATTGTAAGGACAATGAGGGATCGCCTAAGTAAGTAATATTTATAGTATTATAATGTAATGAAATATAATACTACTAATAATATATTATAATTATATATTTATATTACATGTAATATTAATAATATTACAATATAACGGTATAGTATAATAAAGTTATATTTAACACTGATATTGTACAATGCTAACAACATAATATATTGTATCATATATATATTGTAAGCTGCTCTGAGTCCCCTTTGGGGTGAGAAGGGTGGCATAGAAATGTCATAAATAAATAAATAGTAATGCCTGCGGCTGCCCCTGACTCACCGATGGCTCCTTGAGACGTGACGACGTCTGACCAGGCCTTGAGGTCTTTGCTGTGCACCTTGATGAGGGAAGCGCCTCTCAGCTTGGCAGCTGGCAGCTCCTTGAGATGCTCCGTGGAGATGAAGAACAGCGTCTGAGGGGCGGCCCCCGCCTCCAAGGCGTCCGAAATGAGTCGCCGGCCTTCTAGAAGGATCTTCCCGTGCTTCTCGCGGAAGGCCCTTGACTTGGCCAGCGTCACTACTTTGCTGCTCAAAGAAAAAAGTCCGTTACGGCCTCTCAAAAAGCCCCAGGGAGCTTTGATTCGGCGATTTCTGCCAAGTTCGAAAACATGCAAATGCTTCAGCAGGAAGGTAACGGCACTCTATGCAGTCCTGAATCATTGTTAGTAATATTATTATTAGTAGTAATGTTACATGTAATATAATATATATAATTATAATATTATTATATTGTATTATCATTTTTGTTGTATGTTGTGTCTGCACTGTCTGTTTTTGAGAAGGCCAACTGGCTAATCAATAAAATTGTTGTTGTATTGTCTCATATATATATATATTTCAATTTTTTCACATATATTATAGTGTACATAATTCATATTTCTATATATCATATATATGTTACTTATATTACACAGTATAGATCTTTCATCTAAATATATGTGTGACCGCATCTCCGTATATGAACCCACACGATCTCTCCGATCATCTGGAGAGGCCCTGCTCACGATCCCACCTGCGTCGCAAGCGCGATTGGTGGGGACGAGGGACAGGGCCTTCTCCGTGGTGGCCCCCCGACTCTGGAACTCTCTCCCCAAGGACATCAGACAAGCCCCAACGTTGGCAGTCTTTAGGAAGAGCTTGAAGACGTGGTTGTTCCAGTGTGCCTTCTCAGAATAGGAAACTCCAAGCATCATGTCCCAAATGCACTTTACTAGAGATTTAAGATTGTCTGCACACTGCACCTATCTCCAAAAACCTATAAATTTCACCTGTCATGTCCAGCATTTTTAAAAATCATCACATTTAGCCCAGCCTTAGTTTTAAATGCATTGTGGTGTTACTGTCTAATGTTTATTGCTATTGTTTTAATGTTATTGCTTGTTTTATGAGTTTATTTATTGTTGTATTTGTTATGCTGTTGTTTTATTGATATGTTGGGCCTCGGCCTTTTGTAAGCCGCACTGAGTCCTTCGGGAGATGTTAGCAGGGTATAAATAAAGGTTTATTATTATATATTGTTTTTATATATTTCAGTATATATATAAATATTTATTTACACATATGATGTCGAGCACCCCCCCCCCCCCAAAATAAGGGATAGTGACTTATAGTTCTGCAAAGGGCAAGGGCACCAGACTACACAAGAAGGGTTAAGTCTTGGTCACAACAACAAGGACCCCACGAGGCTTTTGGGAAATGGCTGGATCTTGGGACTTCTGCCCTTTCTGAGAGTTGTAGTTCCCCCAAGGACCGAGCAATGGATCATATTATCTATCAACTCAGCGCCCATCCGCTGACTTCTACCAAGAGAGATAACTCTTTGCTGCCTGACTTGGACTGCAAGCCACCTCCGCTTCCACAAACCTTCCCCAGGGGCATGGGATTTCCAGTTCTTTTAATAAATCAATATTGTAAAAAAATAATAAAGATGTGGAGTGGGAAGGGAAATTTTATATGAACTCTGTATAAGAAATTATTGTATGAAATGTAGTTTGTTTCCCCTTTCCCCTTTGACTTTTGCCCTACTAAAAGTGACCAGGAACTGTGGAAATGCTCGAGGGCAAATCTTTGTCTCTCTCGAGACTCATTTTGATGAAACAATAGCCATTGATTTCCTTATCTCATTCTCTGAGCCTGTCTGGAGAGAAAAGGAAATCTGTGAGATTTTGGGGGAAAGATGATTAAATTTACAAAGGGCAGCGTTGATCCCCTTTTGAGGTCCGCAGCCCGACCCTGTTTTTTCCCCCCACCAAAACCCATCAAAAGACAGGAAAGCCTTTGTTTGTGGAGGTCACACTTTGCCAGCCAAAGACAAAGCCTCACATATCAGCTGGCCGGCAATTTTGAAATGGTTTTCTTTGTATTTTCTCTACAAAATGCCTGTAAAATTCTGTAGCAGTATGCTTGTGGTGGAATGATTCCTGCAATGCATCCGATATCAGCTGAATCGCTAATAAAACACCTCGGTCGCTTGAAAAACTTCTTCTACTTTGGTGAGGATTTATTATTTTAAATATTACTATTTTTATCGCTGAAATTGGCTGTCTCTGGCCTCACCATGGTTTATTAAGGACTCTCTTTGGTGCAGTCCTCAGGGATCTCTCTCTCTCAGGGAGGCCCCTCCAAAAAGTAGCTCGATATCACATACACTCAAAAACATAGTACATGTCTTGGCAGTCTACCTCAAGCCAGACCCATCTAGTCCCCATCAAGCTGCAGGAGCCGCCCTTCCCAGGCAGGACTACATTTCCCAGGCTGCCCTGCGACCTGGGGCCTCACCTCAGCCTCTTGTCTCCAGGGCCGGCCTTCTCGTAGCGCGGCTCGCTCTCCCTGAGGCCGACTTCCTCCCCGCCAGCCTCGGCCTTGGCCTTCTCTTTGGGCCCGGGTGGAGGAAGAGGAGGGACGGCGCTGGGACGGGCGGCCTCCTTCTGCTGGGCGGCGGGGGGCAGCACCCGGACGGGGCTCCTCCGCAGCGCCCGCACCCCTCTCACCCCGACGACCAAGAGCGTGGCCTGCTTTCGCCTCAGCAGCGCCGCCATTTTTGTTCCGGGCAGCAGCTACAAAAGCAAAATCTCGCGGGATTTGCTGTGCTCGCTTAGAGAAAGCCGCTTGGCATTCAAATCATCGCGAGATTTGCTTTCCCCCCTCCTCTGTTGCTATTGACAACGTAACAAAATGGTGCCCGCTATACAACAAGAAGTGCGGCCTACACTTCCGGTCGGGGCGCGTCCGCCTAAAGGTTAGTCTCGCGGGACTGGCAGCGCTCGCTTGGAGAAAGCCGCTCGGCATTGAAATCATCGGGAGAGTTGCCCCTCCCACTGTCGCTATTGACAACGTAACAAAATGTCACCCGCTATACAACATCAAGGCGCCGGAAGTGCGGCCTACACTTCCGGTCGGGGCGCGTCCGCCAAAAGGCAAGTCTCGCGGGACTTTCCGCGCTCGCTTTGAGAAAGCCGCTCGGCTTTCAAGTCATCGCGAGAGTTGTCCCTTCCCCCGCCCACCGTTGCTATTGACAACGTAACAAAATGGCGCCCGCTACACAACAACAAGTGCGGCCTACACTTCCGGTCGGGGCGCGTCCGCCAAAAGGCAAGTCTCGCGGGACTTCGCGCGCTCGCTTGGAGAAAGCCGCTCGGCTTTTAAGTCATCGCGAGAGTTGCCTCTCCCCCAGTTGTTCCTGACAACGTAACAAAATGGCGCCCGCTATACAACTAGGCGCAGGAAGTGCGGCCTATACTTCCGGTCGGGGCGCGTCTCTAAAGCGTCAGGGCCCACAATCCCTCCTCTTCGGGAAAGAGCGCCAGGCCTGCTGGGGGTTGAAGTCCGAGAGCGGAGGGAAGTAAACGTCAACATGGAAGCCCGGAGAGCCTTACACTTCGTGTTCAAAGTTGGCGACCGAGCGCAGACGGTGCGGTTCTATCGGGAGATACTGGGCATGCGCGTAAGTGAGGGAGGGGGAAAAGGAGGAAGTGTGACGTCACCGAGGACCGGCGCCGCAGAGGGTCAAACTTATCGGAAAGGCGTTCTGTCCCCTCTTGCGCGTCAGGGCCCACAATCCCTCCTCTTCGGGAAAGAGCGCCAGGCCTGCTGGGGGTTGAAGTCCGAGAGCGGAGGGAAGTAAACGTCAACATGGAAGCCCGGAGAGCCTTACACTTCGTGTTCAAAGTTGGCGACCGAGCGCAGACGGTGCGGTTCTATCGGGAGATACTGGGCATGCGCGTAAGTGAGGGAGGGGGAAAAGGAGGAAGTGTGACGTCACCGAGGACCGGCGCCGCAGAGGGTCAAACTTATCGGAAAGGCGTTCTGTCCCCTCTTGCTACTGTTTAGGGAGCATTGGCTTTGTTGTTGTTGTTCTTGTTGTAAATGTTAATTAAATATAATAGGAGGCTAGCTATAAAATAGGAGGCCATCTACAGAAACACATATGGAAATAACCACTTACTAACTTATTAATGATTAATACTAATTATGAATAATAATTAAAATTGACTTGTTAATGATTAATACGAATTGTTATCATTAATATATTAATATTAAATACTAATTAAGAAGTATTAATAATATATTACTATTATGAATATTATCATTGATATTTTTAGCATTAATATATTAACGTTCAGTTATACTAATTATTATATTAATGTTCAATTATACTAATTATTAGCCTTCTTTAATATATTAATGTTCAATTATAGTAATTATTAGCCTTCTTTAATATATTAATGTTCAATTATAGTAATTATTAGCCTTAATATATTAATGTTCAATTATACTAATTATTAGCCTTAATATATTAATGTTTAATTATAGTAATTATTAGCCTTAATATATTAATGTTCAATTATAGTAATTATTAGCCTTAATATATTAATGTTCAATTATACTAATTATTAGCCTTAATATATTAATGTTTTAATTATAGTAATTATTAGCCTCAATATATTAATGTTCAATTATACTAATTATTAGCCTTCCTTAATATGTTAATGTTCCATTATACTTTTTATTAGCCTTAATATATTAATGTTCAATTATACTAATTATTAGCCTTCTTTAATATATTAATGTTCAATTATAGTAATTATTTGCCTTAATATATTAATGTTTAATTATAGTAATTATTAGCCTCAATATATTAATGTTCAATTATACTAATTATTAGCCTTCCTTAATATGTTCAATTATACTAATTATTAGCCTTCTTTAATATATTAATGTTCAATTATAGTAATTATTTGCCTTAATATATTAATGTTTAATTATAGTAATTATTAGCCTTAATATATTAATGTTCAATTATACTAATTATTAGCCTTCCTTAATATGTTAATGTTCCATTATACTTTTTATTAGCCTTAATATATTAATGTTCAAATATAAGTATTAGCATCAATATATTAATGTCTAATTATACTATTAGCCTTAATATATTAGTGTTCAATTATACTAATTATTAGCCTTAATATATTTAATATATTTAATATATTAATCTTCGGTTATACTAATTCTTAGCCTTAATATATTAATGTTGAATTATACTAATTATTAGCCTTAATATATTAATGTTCAGTTATACTAATTATTAGCCTTTATATTAATCTTCAGTTATACTAATTATTAGCCTTAATATATTAATGTTTAGTTATACTAATTGTTACCATTAATATATTAATATTTAATTTTAGTAATTATTAGCCTAATATATGAATGTACAATTATACCAATTAGTATCAATAATTAATAATTATCATTATTAATAATAAATTATTATTAATGTTTGACATTTGTATAATTTCCCAACAGGTTCTACGGCATGAGGAATTTGAGGAAGGCTGCAAAGCCACTTGCAATGGGTAGGAATATAATAATAATAAATACCACTTGGCCTTTCAAAATAATTATTAAGCTGTATAAATGTGAACGGTTTATGTTTTAAATTAGCATTTAAGGTTCTAAACATTGAAAACTATAAACTCTATGACTATAAATATTATTGGACACCCCAGCCACATACACACAGGCATATTTTCACTATTTTTATATGTGCCTAGATAGATGAGCCCCCATTAACTCCCATAGATTCTCTGTGTTTCTAGTCCCTATGATGGGAAATGGAGCAAAACGATGGTGGGATTCGGCCCCGAGGACGGTCATTTTGTGGCTGAACTGACCTACAATTACGGCGTCGGAGGATATCGCCTTGGCAACGACTTCCTGGTGCGGATTTTAAACAATAAGTCACTTTAAATTTATTCATTTTAGATTATTTTTATATTTTATTTATTTTAAATTAGAATTTTAAACAATTATAAATTTATTCAATTTTTTTTATTTCAAATGGTTTTTTAAATAAGTGATTCTGAATGTATTTATTTGAAATAATAAGTGACCCGTGAATTAATTAAATGAATTCTTTTAAATAATAAGCTGTTTTAAACCAGTTTTTAAAATATTTTTTGTTAAAAAAATACTAAGTTAATTTAAAATGTATTTATTTCAAAACAGTATTTTGAATATATGATTCTAAATTTATTTCTTTTAAATTAGTTTCAGGTTAATAAGTGACTGTTTTAAATTAGTTTTTATAAAGTAATAACGAATTAATTTAAATTTATTTGTTTTAAGTTAGGTGTTCTTTTTCTCCAAATTTTTTTTGTAAACAAGTTAAATTTAATTGATTTTGAATTAGTTTATATAAAATAATAACAAATTAATTATTTGTTTTAAGTTTGGTTTTTTATTTATTTTGTAAACAAGTCAAATTTAATTTATTTTAAATTAGTTTTTAATAATAATGATGAATTAATTTAAATTTATTTGATTTAAGTTAGGTGTTCTTTTTCTCCAAATTTATTCTGTAAAAAAGTTAAATTTAATTTATTTTGAATTAGTTTAAAAAAATAATAATGAATTAAAATTTTTAAGAGGTTTTTTCTTGATTTATTTTGTAAATAAGTTACATTTAATTTATTTTAAATTAGTTTTTAAAAATAATAATGAATTAATTTAAATTTATTTGTTTTAAGTTCTGTTTTCCTCCAAATTTATTTGTAAGTAAGTTAAATTAAATTTATTTTAAATTAGTTTTTATAAAGTAATAATGAAGTAATTCAAAATTATTTGTTTTAAGTTAGGTTTTCTTTTTTTCCAGATTTCTTTTGTAAACAAGTTAAATTTAATTTATTTCAAATTAGTTTTTAAAAATAAAGAATTAATTTAAATTTATTTGTTTTGTTAGGTTTTTACATTTATTTTGTAAAACAAGTTAAATTTAATTTATGTTAAATTAGTTTTTATAAAATAATAATGAATTAATTTAAATGTATTTGTTTTAAGTTAGGTTTTTAAAGTTAGGTGTTCTTTTCTCCAAATTTATTTTGTAAACAAGTTACATTTAATTTACTTTGAATTAGTTTTTATAAAATAATAATGAATTAATTTAAATGTATTTGTTTTAAGTTCTCTTTTTTCCTCCAAATTTATTTTATAAGTTAAATTTTATTTATTTTAAATTCATTTTTAAAAATAATAATGAATTAATTTAAATTTATTTAAGTTAGGTTTTTTATTTATTTTGTAAACAAGTTGAATTTAATTTATTTTAAATTAGTTTTTATAAAATAATAATGAATTAATTTACATTTATTTGCTTTAAGTTCTGTTTTTTCCTCCAAATTTATCTTGTAAATAAGTTAAAATTAATTTATTTTAAACTAATTTAAAAATATAATATGATACATTATATTTATGTTAAATATAATAAGTGATGTTATTTAAAAATAGTTTTAACAATTAATAAATTAGTTTAATAATAATGTGTTATTTTTCCCGGCAGGGAATGACGATTGCCTCCAGCCAAGCGGTAAATAACGCGAAAAGGCTTCAGTGGCCGATCAAGGAGATTTCGTCCGGTGTTTACGAAACGGAAGCTCCGGGAGGATACAAGTTCTTCCTGGAAGAGAAGGAAGCTCCCAAGAAAGGTGTCTGTGCAGCTACATACACACACATACATGTTTTCGCTTTTATTATTATGTGTATAGATAGATTACCATGATCTTATTCTATTATTTCTATAATATGTATAGATAAGAGGAAATTACAATATTATAATTAGAACTATTATCCTTCTAAATGTATAATAGCAATAAATTACAATATAATAATTTATTATTAATTTAATAATACTAATGTTATAATGTGATATAATACTAATTATATCACGGCGCAGTGGGTTAAACCACTGAGCTGCTGAACTCGCTGACCGAAAAGTTGGCGGTTCAAATCCGGGGAGTGGGGTGAACTCCCGCTGTTAGCCCCAGGTCTTGCCAACCTAGCAGTTCGAAAACATGCAAATGTGAGTACAATAGGTATCGGGCGGGAAGGTAAGGGCGTTCCATGCAGTCCTGCCAGTGACCACATGACCTTGGAGGTGTCTATGGACAACTCCAGCGCTTCGGCTTGGAAGAGCATTCACACCTACTTCGATTTGCAAGAGGCCCAAACGAGGTAAATACAGCACAACTTTCACTAAATAAAGAACAGGGGAACTCCAGACAAGAAACAACCAGGGACAACTAATCACCTCTCAAGAAAGGATTCCCCCAGGGAGTAAGAAGTCACGCCTTGAAACTGCTAGGCCATTCAATGCTAATCAAGGTGGCCAATGGCAACATTCACACCTACCTCCAACAATTTGTTCTTATAAAACAATAATGAATTAATTTAAATTTATTTGTATTAAATTCGGTGTTCTTTTTCTCCAAATTTATTTTGCAAACAAATTAAATTGAATTTATTTTAGTTTTTATAAAATAATAATGAATTAATTTACATTTATTTGTTTTAAGTTAGGTTTTTTAAATATATTTTGTAAACGAGTTAAATTTAATTTATTTTAAGACAAGAGTTCTTTTTCCCACCCTGGACATTATTCCACAAGGATATAAACCCCATTTGCCTTGTTTCCAACCTCTGAGGATGCTTGCCATAGATGCAGGCGAAACGTCAGAAGAGAATGCTTCTGGAACATGGCCATTCAGCCCAGAAAACTTACAATGACCCAATAATAATAATAGTAATAAATAATAGTAATAATGTGCTGCTTCTTTCAGACCCAGTGATGAAGGTGGCGCTGGCCGTGTCCAATTTGGCCAAATCCAGGGTCTTCTGGGCCAAACTGCTGGGCATGAAGGTCTATGAGGAGGACGAAGGCCAGCAGAGGGTCCTGATGGGCTTCCAGGATGACCAGGTCAGATCATGAAATTATGACATTTCTAAATATATAATATACTAGCCGTCCCCTGCCATGCGTTGCTGTGGCCCAGTCTGGATGTTTGTGTTTTGCGCATGTACATATGTATGTGTAAGTATATATTTGTGTATATGTGTGTGTGTGTGTGTATAATTGTGTATTTGTGTGTTTATATGTGTACATGCATATTGTGTATATGTGTGTGCTTGTCTATATTCATATTTGCATGTATATATGTGTGTATGTGGATATGTATATGTGTGTGCATGTGTGTATGTTAATATGTATGTGTGCATGTATATGTCCATGTGTATGTGTGTATATTTTGTGTTTGTGCATATATATATACGTATATGTGTGTATATATGTGTGTTTGCATATATATATCTATATCTATATATATATGGATTTATATAAGTGTGTATATATTTGTGTGTTTATATGTGTACATGCATATTGTGTGTATGTGTGTGTTTGTCTATATGTATATTTGTGTGTATATATGTATGTATGTAGATATGTATATGTGTGTGCATGTGTATATGTATGTGTATATGTGTATATTTGTGTGTGTTTGTGCATATGTATATGAGTGTATGTGTATATGCATATATTGTGTATTTTTTGGGTTTTTAAGCCTGTTCGGCTGGGGTTTTGTGCGTATGTGCATGTTTATGAGTGATGGTCACTCGTTGCCCAGAGAGGTGTCTTGTGTCCAAATTTGGTGCCGATTCGTCCAGTGTTAATCCCACAAACGGACATTACATTTTTATTTATATAGATATTATAATATATATAAAATATATTGTATATACATATATTGATAGTATTATAATGTAATGTGATATAATACTACTACTACTAATAATATGATAGTGTAATTATATATTTTATATTGCATATAGTGTAATCCTATAGTACAATATAGTAATATATAATACTGATATTGTGCTGTGCTAATAATATATTGTATTTACATAATACTTGTAAACCGCTCTGAGTTCCTTTCAGGGTGAGAAGGGCGGCCTATCAATGTTGAAAGTAAATAAATAAATAAATATTAATAAATTGCAATAATAACAATATATTATAATTATATATTTATACTAAATGCAATATTACTAATAATATTAAAATATAATGGTATAGTACAATATAGTAATATGTAATACTAATATTGTGCTATGCTAATAATATATTGTATTTACATAATATTTGTAAACCGCTCTGAGTTCCTTTCGGGGTGAGAAGGGCGGCCCATCAATGTTGAAAATAAATAAATAAATATTAATAAATTGCAATAATAATAATAATAATAATAATAAGATATTATAATTATATATTTATACTACATGTACTATTACTAATAATATTACAATATAATGGTATAGTACAATATAGTAATATATAATACTAATATTGTGCTGTGCTAATAATATATTGTATTTACATAATATTTGTAAACCGCTTTCGGGGTTTGTATATTTGTAAAACCCTTTCGGGGCGAGAAGGGTGGCCCATCAATGTTGAAAATAAATAAACAAATATTAATAAATTGCAATAATAATACTAATAATATGATATTGTAATTATATATTTATACTACATGTAATATTACTAATATTTATTTATTTATTTATCGTGTCATCAGCAACCATAGCATTGTATTACATTTCTAACAGAACAAAACAAACAAAGAGATAAAATAAATAAATAATATTACTAATAATTATTACTAATAATATTACATTATAATGGTATAGTACAATATAGTAAGATATAATACTGATATTGTGCTATGCTAATAATATAATATATTGTATTTACTTGTTACTTGTAAGCTGCTCTGAGTTCCCTTTGGGGTGAGAAGGGCGGCCTATGAATATCATAAATAAATAAATTAAAATATATTAATAAATTGCAATATAATAATTATATCTGTTATCCTAAATGCGTTCCCAATGTTGTAAATAAATAAATATTATATTAATAAATTGCAATATAGTAATTATATCTGTTACCTCCCTCTTTTCCCCAAATTTCAGTGTAAACTGGAGCTTCAGGGCATCGGCCGGGCCGTGGATCACGGCTCCGCTTTTGGGAGAATCGCCTTTTCGTGCCCCAAAAAACAGGTAACGCCATTTTTTCCCGCGACCGCAAGTGAGGTCACAACAGGAAGTGATGTCGCTCTGCCTCCAGGATGTGGGGGACGTGGTTAGTGCAGGGCTTTACAAATCCAATGATAGAGAATGGGTTCCTCTGCTAACAGCTCCCGGAGATCGAGGCCTTGATGAAGAAGGAAAACCAGAAGATTTTGACTCCGCTTTTGAGCCTCGACACTCCCGGCAAAGCGACGGTGCAAGTCGTCATCTTAGCCGATCCCGTGAGAGCCCTACAATTATATATTGTATTACTCTTATATTGTTATTATATTATGTAATATTATAATATTCTATCCCGTTTTCCTCTTCAGGACGGGCACGAAGTCTGTTTCGTGGGGGACGAAGCCTTCCGGGAGCTTTCCCGAGTCGATCCCAAGGGGGAGGAGCTCTTAGACAAGGTCGGCATTTCGATCTCTTTCCAGCATTTATTACGATCTAAACCCAAAAAATTCCTTTGGGTTAAACTGCCAGCTGCAAAAAATTCTGCCGATTGAAAGGTCCGCAGTTCAAGCCTGGGTTGGGGTGAGCTCCTAACTGTCATCCCAGCTTCTGCTCACCTAGCAGTTCAAAAACAGCAATGTGAGTAGATAAATAGGTATCCATAAGGACATGCTGGTGATTTGTTTGCCGTATATGTGTACTGTAATCCGCCCTGAGTCCCCTCGGGGAGATAGGGCGGAATATAAATAAAGATTATTATTATTATTATTATTATTATTATTATTATTATTATTATTATTATAGGAGGTGTTTGGCATGGAGATGGAATAATAATAATCGTCTTTCTCTTTCCGTAGAGTATGGCGGCCGACAAAAGCCAGGAGTGGTTTGCAAAGCACAACATCCCTAAACCTTCTGCCTGAAAGGAAAATCAACGTATCGCTGCTTGGAAATACATTCCAGTGGATGCCTTCCACCTCGAATGCAAGCACCATCCATTCGTCGTTGGTTCGAAGGCTTCAGAGTCGGGTGCCCTCCGTCTGCTCTTTGCCAAATCAATGTATTGCCTTGGGTTTCATTCTGGGTTTCCTCTCCTCCAAATAAATAATTTCCCATGAAGAAGAAATTATTATTATTATTATTATTATTATTATTATTATTATTATTATTATTTAATTCTAGATTATATGAGAATATATATTACACAAAAACTATTATTATTCTATCTATATAAATAAAAATGTAATGTTCGTTTGTGGGATTAACAGAACTCAGAAACCACTGGACGAATTCACACAAAATTTTGACACAATAAACCTAACAGTCCAATGATTGTCCATCACCCCTAAAAATACAAAAACCCTCAGCAGAACGGACTTAAAAACCCCCAAAATAAACCTTATACACACACACACACATATACATATATACACACACACATATATATACACATACTCATATACACATGCACACATACATACACATACTTATATATGTATATTATATATATACACACAAGCACACAGAAATATATACACACATACATCTCCATATATACATATATACATGCACACATACATACACACATATATAAACACAAATATACATAAAGACAAGCACACACATATACACAATATACATATGCACTTATAAACACACAAATATATACACACATATATACCCCCACACACACATCTATCTGTATCATCTATATACACACATATATGCAGAGATACACACATATATACACATCTACGCGCACACATATATACACCCACACCTACCCCCCCACACACACATATCTATATCTATCCATGTATCTATATACACAAACACACATACATACACAGATACACAAATATATAGACACATATACACACACACACAAAACACATATATACAGACTGGGCCACAGCAACGCATGGCAGAGGACGGCTAGTAATATATAAATGAATCTTTCAACTTCCTGGGTCAAAAACCACTTCTGAATTTGGGAAGCTCTCAAAAAACAGTCTGGGACCCCCATCGAAATCCGGGACGCCGAAACAGATGGCAGTTTGCCCGGATTGCACAAGCATCATCCTGGCCTCGTGTACCAGTTGGAGGCCAAAACACCTGGGGACCCACAGGTTGAGAACCACTGGCCTAGATCCATCCTAGCGCCCCACTGGTGGCCCCCGAGATGGGACGATGGGACTCGGGAGTCCCCTGAAGCAACACAGATAGACCAAGACACTCAAGGTTGCCTTCCTTCCTCAAAGAGTGGGGGGGGGGGGTTTAATGCCCGGAAGCAGGAGAGGTGGGCCTCACTCCTCGTCCTCCCGGGCCCTTCCGGCTTCCTTCTGGGGCCGGACTACAAGGCCCATCATGCCCTCACTGGTGGCTCCAGGGGAGAGGCTTGCGGAGGCGGAGGCGGAGGCAGGCGGTGAGCAGGGCCCCCTCTTTGCGCCCCGAGCAGAGCGAGCGCCGGGAGATCAGGAGGGGGCCCGGGCGGAAGGGGCGGTCCCTGCAGAAAGAGGAGGAATTATTAGTATTATATTATCATATTATTATAATGTATTATTAGTATATTGTATTACATTTTAGTATATTATCTTATTAGCATAGCACAATATTAGTGTTATATGTTACTATATTAAACGATACCGCTATACTGTAATATATTATTATATATTATTAGTATATTGTATTACATTTTAGTATATTATCTTATTAGCATACCACAATATTAGTATTCTATGTTACTTTATTAAACTATACTGCTATACTGTAATATATTATTATACATTATATTGTATTGTATTTTAGTATATTATATTATTAGCATATTACAATATTAGTATTATATGTTACTATATCAAACTATACCGCTATACAGTAATATATAATTATATATTATATAATTAGTATATTGTATTACCTTATATAATTAGCATAGCACAATATTAGTGTTATGTGTTACTATATTAAACTATACTGCTATGCTGTAATATATTATTGTATTGTATTATTTATTGTATTACATTTTAGTATATTATATTATTAGCATAGCACAATATTAGTATTCTGTGTTACTATATTAAACTATACCGCTATACTGTAATATATTATTATATTGCATTATTAGTATATTGTATTACATTTTAGTATATTATATTATTAGCATACCACAATATTAGTATTCTATGTTACTATATTAAACTATGCAGCTATACTGTAATATATATATATTTACTTTGCTTCTATACCGCTGTTCTCAGCCCGGAGGCAACTCACTGCGGTTCACAACACACAAGAAACAGCAAAAATTCAATGCACCAATATAAAAACAGTTAACGACCTAATCTAATACACAGTTAATACACAGTTAATACACAATTACTATAATAACCATTCACTAGCGTCTCATCACTAAAAAACACATATAATTAGTATATTGTAATGTATTACATTTTAGTATATTATATTATTAACATAGCACAAAATTAGTATTCTATGTTACTATATTAAACTATACTGCTATACTATAATATATTATTATATATTATATAATTAGTATATTGTATTACATTTTAGTATATTATATTATTAGCATAGCACAATATTAGTATTCTATGTTACTATATTAAACTATTCCACTGTACTGTAATATTATTAGAAATATTGCATGTAATATATAATGTACAATTATTGTAGTATTATATTGTACTATATTATTATGCCACAACATATAAAATACACTACCAGTATATTATACTGTACATTATTGTCATTCTTCTCATTATGATTTTATTAATATAATTATTATAATAATAGAAGAATCCCTGTTGGGATCGGAATATTTGATAGAATAATTAATAATAATAATAATAATAATAATAATAATAATAATGTAATATATTATATTATAATATAAAACCATTCCTGCTGAGATTATGAATATTTTATATAATAATAATAAAAATTAATAAGAATAATAAAACAATCCCTGCTGAGATTAAGAATATTTTTATGTAATAATAATAATAATAATAATAATAATAATAATAATAGAAGAATCCCTGCTGGGATCGGAACATTTGATATAATAATAATAATAATAATAATAATAATAATAATAATAATAATAAATATAATGTAATATATAATAATATAAAATGATTCCTGCTGAGATTATAAATATTTTAAATAATAAGAATAATAAATTAATAAGAATAATAAAACATTCCCTGCTGAGATTAAGAATATTTTTAAATAATAATAATAATAATAGAAGAATCCCTGCTGGGATCAAGAATATTTGATATAATAATATATATAAAAACAACAATTGATTTAATAATGTAATATAAAACAATAATAATATAGTAACAATTGGTATAATAATAATAATAATAATAATAATAATAATAATGCAATAATATATATAATAACAATTGATGTAGTAATGTAATATAAAATAATAATATAATAATTGGTATTATACTAATGCAATATAAAATAATATATACCAATAATAATAATAATAATAGTAGTAGAATAATACCTTATTATATTTTAAGCATATATCTTAATAAAATATTGGTATAATAAAATAATATGTACCAATAATAATATTAGAACAATACCCTATTATATTTTAAGCATATATCTTATTATAATAAAATATTGGTATAATAAAATAATATATACCAATAATAATAATATTAGAACAATATCCTATTATATTTTAAGAATATATCTTAATATAATAAAATATTGGTTTAGTAAAATAATATATACCAATAATAATAATAATAATAATAATTAGAACAATACCCTTTAATATTTCAAGAATATATCTTCATATAATAAAATAATAATCATATATAATATATAATATATAATATAAGAGTAAAATATATTAAAATAAGAATATATATATGAGAATAATATAAGAGTATAATATAAGTATTATAAGTATAATATATATTATAAGAGTAAAATAAATTAATATAAGAATATATATTAATGTAATATAATTACTAATTATATTATAATATAATTAATATTGTAGTTATATTATATTTTATTAATATAATATTATATAAGTATAATATATATTATAATTAATAATATAGAAATTATATTTGGACTAATTAATTAATTATAAATAAATATTATTATATTATTAATATAATATTATATAAGTATAATATATATTATAAGAGTATCATATATTAATATAAGAATATATATTAATATAATATAATTACTAATTATATTATATTAATATAATTAATATAAGGATATTATATTATTAATATAAAATAAGTATAATACATATTATAAGAATATATAATAATATAATGTTTAAGGAGCTCCACTGGCTGCCATTTATTTTCCGGGCCCAATTCAAGGTACAGGTGCTCACCTATAAAGCCCTAAACGGTTTGGGACCACCTTACCTGCGTGACCGCATTACCATCTACGAACCCACGCGCTCGCTTCGGTCATCTGGGGAGGCCCTGCTCGTGATCCCACCTACATCGCAAGCGCGCTTGGTGGGGACACGGGACAGGGCCTTCTCTGTGGCGGCCCCCCGACTTTGGAACACCCTCCCAAAAGATCTCCGACAGGCCCCTTCTCTTGCTGCTTTCAGAAGGAATTTAAAAACTTGGTTGTTCCGCTGTGCCTTTTCAGACTAGGAATCCCCACCTGAGTTCTGATAGTACCTTAGCATAATTAATTGCCACTGCACACTGCACTTTTAATTCCACGTGCCCCACCACCTCAGCACTTTTAATTTCCTGTACCCATCGCGCCGGCCGAGCCAGTTTTAATAATGTTTGATGTATTGTTGGTGTCGTTATTGCTTATTGTTTGATTTGCTTTGCTATTGTTGTGTTATGTTTTTTTACTGTATTGTGTTTTGAGGCTTCGGCCTGTGTGAGCCGCATCGAGTCCCTCGGGAGATGCTAGCGGGGTACAAATAAAGTTAATAATAATAAATAATAATAATAAGAGTATTATATATTAATATAAGTATATATATATATTAATGTTATATAATTACTAATTATATAATATAATTAATATTATTATATTAATAATATATTATTAATATAATATATATTATAAGAGTAAAATATATTAATATAATTAATTATTAATTATATTAATATTAATTATATTATAATTAATATTATTATATTAATATAATATAATACATATGAGTATAATATATTAATATAAGAATATATATTAATATAATTATATTAGTAATGTTTTTATATTATTAATATAATATAATACATATAAGAGCATAATATATTAATGTAAGAATATATATTTATATAATATAATTACTAATATTATCATCATAAATTATAATATATAATTTATAATATATAAAATATATTAATATAACATAAGAATGTATATAATAATAATAATAATAATAATATAATAATAATAATATAATGATAATAATAATATAATAATAATAATAATAATAATAATAATAATGATAATAATAATGATAATAATAATAATAATAATAGAAGCCGACCATGCAGTGTAGGCCGGAAGGGGCGTGGCGTTGTCCGGGCGGGGGGCGGTGTCTCGGAGGAGGCGGCAGAGGAAGCTCTTCCGGCGGAACTTGGCTTTGCGGAACCCCGTCTCGGCGTCGGAAGAAGGGCAAGACGGGGGGAGAGGAAGAGGGCGGAAGTGCGGCGTCAGGAGGAGCCGCGCGCTTCCTACTGCTGCCGCCAGGGGACAAAAAGGTCCCTCCCATCCGGGGCTTTTGTGCCGCGCGGGCTGAGCGCACAATGCCCGCCTCTTCCTCCTCCTCTGCCACACTTCCGCTTCCGGCCCGGAAGAAGAGGGGGAAGGAGAGAGGCAGCCATGCAGCTCGGTGGGTGGGAGATGTAGTTCGCCAAGGGCCACGGAAATATTTCATTTTCTATTTTTTTTTGTTTTCTACAACTAATTTTATTTTCTATTATTTATGTCTTTTTTTCCCATTCATAGTTTCCTATTTTCTACTTAATTTTTATTTACTATTTTTTAGGGCCTACTTATTTTCTTCTACTTACTTTTTTATTATTATTAATTATTTTATTATTATGTTTCCTGTCTCTTTGTTTATTTTCTATTATTTATTATTTTATCAATTTTTTGTTTAATTATTTTTTATTTATGTTTTTTAATTTTCTATTTAGGATTATCTTTTTATTATTATTATTATTTTAATTTCTCTTTTCTATTTATTATTATTATTCATTTATTTATGTTTTCTAATTTTCTATTTATGATCACTTTTTCCTTTTCTATTTATTATTATTATTCATTTATTTATATTTTCTAATTTTCTATTTTTCTCTTCTATTATTGTTATTATTCATTTCTTAATGTTTTCTAATTTTTTATTTATGATCACTTTTTTCCTTTTATTATTATTCATTTATTTATATTTTCTAATTTTCTATTTTTTCTTTTCGATTTATTATTATTATTATTCCTTTATTTATGTTTTCTAATTTTCTATTTTTTCTTTTCTATTTATTATTATTATTCCTTTATTTATGTTTTCTAATTTTTTAATTTTTTCTTTTCTATTTATTATTATTATTCCTTTATTTATGTTTTCTATTTTTCTATTTATGATCACTTTTTCCTTTTCTATTTATTATTATTTATTTATGTTTTCTAATTTTTTAATTTCTCTTTTCTATTTATTATTATTATTCATTTATTTATGTTTTCTAAATTTCTATTTATGATCACTTTTTCCTTTTCTATTTATTATTATTATTATTCATTTATTTATATTTTCTAATTTTCTACTTTTTCCTTTTCTATTTATTATTATTATTCATTTCTTAATGTTTTCTAATTTTCTATTTTTCTCTTCTATTATTGTTATTATTCATTTCTTAATGTTTTCTAATTTTTTATTTATGATCACTTTTTTCCTTTTATTATTATTCCTTTATTTATGTTTTCTAATTTTCTATTTTTTCTTTTCTATTTATTATTATTATTCCTTTATTTATGTTTTCTAATTTTTTAATTTTTTCTTTTCTATTTATTATTATTATTCCTTTATTTATGTTTTCTATTTTTCTATTTATGATCACTTTTTCCTTTTCTATTTATTATTATTTATTTATGTTTTCTAATTTTTTAATTTCTCTTTTCTATTTATTATTATTATTCATTTATTTATGTTTTCTAATTTTCTATTTATGATCACTTTTTCCTTTTCTATTTATTATTATTATTATTCCTTTATTTATGTTTTCTAATTTTCTATTTTTTCTTTTCTATTTATTATTATTATTCCTTTATTTATGTTTTCTAATTTTTTAATTTTTTCTTTTCTATTTATTATTATTATTCCTTTATTTATGTTTTCTATTTTTCTATTTATGATCACTTTTTCCTTTTCTATTTATTATTATTTATTTATGTTTTCTAATTTTTTAATTTCTCTTTTCTATTTATTATTATTATTCATTTATTTATGTTTTCTAATTTTCTATTTATGATCACTTTTTTCCTTTTCTATTTATTATTATTATTATGTTTCTGCTTTTCTTTTAGGTGTTTTTTTACCCTCTTGAGATTATTTTGGGGATTTTTTTTAAGTGTTCAAACAGATTTTGGAATGTAATTCTATTTTTTGACATTTATAGGTTGTTGGTTATTGATGTCACTATCTTTAAATAAAATATTGTCATCTTCGTGGCATTGAGAGTAATGCTGTGAATCTCAGTCCAGAAATAAATATGCTGATTATTATTATTATTATTATTAGGTTGCTGTGAGTTATCAGGCTGTCTGCCATAGATGTGGATGAAACGTCAGGAGTGAATGCTTCCGGAACATGGCCAGACAGCCCGAAAAACTCACAACTACCCAGTGATTCCAGCCATGAAAGCCTTCAACAACACATTATTATTAATCTTTTTATTAGCAATAATAATTGTAAGTAATAATAAGGAAAGCTGTCAAGAAATTAAAAGGGATATAATAATTCATAAAATAATAATATAGAAACATAAATATATATAATATACATAATTTAGTGTATATACGCATATATGCAATCTAGATTGCCATGATATGAAATGATCATCTACAATTTTGGATATTATATATTTATAAATTATATGGTATTCACACACACACATAATTTATAAATATATAATAGAGAAGTTGTAGATGATGGTCATTTTATGGTTTCCCCTGACCTTAAGTATCCAACTCTGGGACCTATCTCAATTTCTCAGCCAAAGAGCCGGCGTTATCCGCAGACTCCTCCAAAGTCATGTGGCCAGCATGACTACATGGAGTGGCGTCACCTTTCCGCCAGAGCGGTACCTATATGGAGTGTCATTTCATATCACGGCAATATAAGTATATGACATATCAATATTTTGATTAAGTTTCACTTTTCCCATCTTGACTTAAATAATAAATATACCTGTATTTACTTGAATTTAATGCACGGGACACCTCTATTATTACATTTATTATTTTACTCTATTATTGTTATTCTTACATTTATTATTTTACTGTATTGTTATTGTTACATTTATTATTTTACTCTGTTATTGTTACATTTATTATTTTACTATATTGTTATTATAGCATTTATTATTTTACTCTATTAATGTTATTGTTACATTTATTTTTTACTCTATTATTATTACATTTATTATTTCATTCTATTATTGTTATTGTTACATTTATTATTTTACTGTATTATTACGTTTATTATTTTACTCTGTTATTATTTTACTCTATTATTATTGGAGGACATGCAAGCCTATTTACATTGAAGAAGGTCAGAATAATGGTTCGATCAGAGTTGGGCAATCTTATCTTGAATTACAGTTTTATGTAAATATTCGAAAACATTGAACCTACTGATTCCTACATTAATATAATTTTATTGGTATCTATTTCTATTTTGAAATTGATCCGTAAATGCTGCATTTCCCACCCTCGGTATACTAAGTCAATACATTTTCCCAGTTTTTTGTGGTAAAATTAGGTGCCTCGGCTTATATTTGGGTCGGCGTATACTCGAGTATATATGGTATATAAATTTGGGTAGCCTAGGGGTTGGAGTGTTTCAGATCAGGACTGAGTAGCCCATCCTTCCCTTGAATGCAATGGTTTGTCTCTGTCCCAACAGGGCCGCTGACCATCTGCGGAGAAGTGACCGTCCTGCACGGCGGGTTCCTGCTGGCCTCCCAGCTGTGCCACCCCCGGCCGTTGTCCGAGCTGGCCAAGTCCGACTGGCCCGTGGTGGGGAAGCCCATCCTGGAGGCGCTGGAGGAGATCTGCACCTCACACTCGTCGTACCCGCCGCAGCCGGACGCCTGGAAGAAGAAAGCGGCGGTCATCCTGTGGTCCAAGGTGCTCTTCTCCGAGGCCCCGGCGGTCTCCCTGAACCAGCGGTGGAAGGACGACGCCTTCTTCTCCGTCAGCAGCATGATCCCGGAGGTCAACCGCACGGTTCTTTTCGAGCTCTTCATGGCGGCCAACGCGCCCCGGCTTTTCACCGAACTTCTCCTGGTTCTTCCGGAGCCGCTTTGCCGGCGGGAACTGGAGGCGCTGGTGGCGTACGTGGCCAAGGAGACCTCTGCGCGCGACGTCCGCTTCTACTTAGACGTGTGGTGGGAGATCATGAAGCACAAGGCCGGCCAGGAAGACCGGCTGACCTTACTCTTCCGCAGCGTCTCCCAGCAGTGTCTCCCGGAGCCGGACGACACGGGTCAAGCCCCGAAGCGCTTCAAGAGTGATGCCCCTCCCTCGACGCATCCCCCCCTCGAGACGAACATCCTTCCCATCTTAACGGAGGGTTTGAAGCTGATCCAGGGGAGCGTCTGCCCGGCGAAGATGAAGTGTTACGCTCTTGCCAACTTCGTGGACCTTGTGTCCATGTCGCTAGCGGCGTGCGACGCAGAGTCGGTGCCCATCAAGACGTACTTGGTGAAGGTCTCTTCGGTGGTGACGCTTTGGTGCAGCGACTGCGACAACCGCTATAGCAAAACGGAGCTGGACGAGAAGGTGAAGGAGGCCGAGCGGAGTGTGAGTTTGCTCAGCGTGGCTCAGACGTCCAAAGCATTCTTGCTCATAGATTTGGCTTTTCTCCACGCTTTGTTGGAAGAGTGGTCTACGGAGCTTCAGGATTTCCTCAACGATCCGGAACAGGTCTGCTACGAAAGCTACCGGCTCCTCGATTGCTTGGCGTCGTTGCAGAAGCGGCTGGCAAGGTCTGCTGAGTTGGGGGGCGACTTGGAAGACGAGACGGCCAAGGCCGTGGCGCGCCTCTCCGAACTCGTGGCGGACTTCTTGAAGAGCGTCAGCCTTAAGCCGTGCAACAATGAGGCCAAAAAGGACGTTGTGGCCTCCGTGGCCATGGTCATCATCGACAAGCGGATGGACCGCCACGAGGAGGTGTGCTCCGTGTTCGCGGCGGAGAAAGACTGGGCGCTCTCCGAAGAATGGGCCGATTGCCTCGTCAAGAACAAGGAGCTCTTCCGGGATCCCGGGACCGTCCTCAAATTGGCGCAGACTTTGGCCAACAGCAGCCAAGATGCCCAAAGCCAGGGGCAGGCCGCCCGCGTGGCCAAAGTCATCCTTGAGTGTTACACGGCGCTCCCCTTGACCGATCAGAACCAAGTCATTTCCGGCGTCTTGGCGACGTGGGGCCGGAAGGGCCTTTCCGGGGCATCACCGGCCTTCTCGGAGGGCTTCCAGGAGGAACTCAACGTGGCCTTCAACCAGATCATCCAGAGCGTGTCCGGAGAAGGCTTCCAGAGGGTGGTGGCTGCCGTGTCTCGGCTGGTGGCGCTCAACCCAGAAGCGACGGTCAAGAAGATCTACCAATTGGTGGTGGCCAATTTAGGAACGCACCTCTTCTTGGCGGAGATCTTGTGTTGCTTCCCGGCCCTGAGGTTCCAGGAGGGTCAGGATGCGGGGGACGCCTCAGCCAACCTGCTCGTGGCCTGCCTGCGGGAGACCATCTGGGACCGGCTGACCTCCGCCAAGGAGAAGGAGCAGTTCTTGGAGTTCCTGGGCTACCTGCTCCAGCCCAACGGGGCCCACCCGCTCCTCTCCCCGGCCGAAGTGACCCGCAGCCTGGTCCTCCCGTTCCTCAAGTCGGACTCCCCGTGCGTCGAGCTCTGCTTGCGCATACTCGACCAGGCCCTGAAGGTGCCTTCGGAGCCAGACTGGATCCACGCCTGCCACCCCTTCCCGCTCCTCCTCTCCCTTTGCAAGCTCCTCGACGGCTTCGCTCAGTACTGGCACGAACCGGAAGGCCACCACGCGTGCTCCTTCGAGACCAAGGACTTGGTGGCCACCAACCTGGCCCGGCTGTGCCACGCCCTCTCGGCCCAGAAGGACTCCTTTTCCCCGGCGCTGTGGGACCAATCCGTGTCCTGGCTGCACAGGAAGGCCGGGGCCTTGGACTGGACCGTTGGCTTGCGGCTGGAGAGCGTCTACGGGGAGCACTTCAAGAAGGAGGTCCCCTCCACACTCTTCGAGGTCTGCAAGCTGCCTCAGGAGGAGTGGACCTCCCGCTCAGACGGACAGTACGGGCCGGGCAGCGGGCTCCTGGCCTGGATGGAGTGCTGCTGCGTCTCCACCGCGCTGAGGGAGAAGATGCTGGTGCTCCTCACGGTCAACGTGGACAACCCCGAGGAGGTCAACCTCTTCAGCAAGGGCTTCTTGGTGGCCCTCGTCCAGGTACGGGGCTCGGGCAAGAAGGGAAATGCGAGGAGTGGAAATAGTCCACGGGGTCTTAGTAAACCATAAGCAGAATGTGAGTCAAGAGTGTGATGCGGCAGCAAAATAGGCCAATGCAGTTCTCAGCTTTGTCAATAGGAGTCTCGTGCCCACATCAAAGGAAGTAATAACTATCTATATAAATAAAAACTATAATGTTAATTTGTGGGATTAACATAACTCAAAAACCACTGGATTGACACGAAATTTGGACACAAGACACTTAACAGTCCAACAAGTGTCCGTCAGGCCTAACACACACACACACACACACACACAAAATCCCAGCGGAACAGACTTAAAAACCCAAAAAATACACCATATATACATATACGCATACACTCATATACATATACACATGCACACATTCATACACACACACATATATATGCACAAACACATACATATATTCACACATACATATACATGCACACATATACACATGCACACACACAAACACACATATATACACAAATATATACAAACACATATATACACACACAAAACACATAAACACAGACTGAACACAAGACACCTCTCAGGCCAACGAGTGACCATCACTCAGAAAAACACTGAAAACACAGCAGAAGAGAGTTAAAAAAACAAACAAAAATACATTACAACACATGCACAAAACCACATATATACATATATACACAGAGTTATACACACATATATACACATACACACAAAACACATATACACAGATTGGGCCACAGCAACGCGTGGCAGGGGATGTATAGTGTGTGTGTGTATATATAAATATATATGAAAGGGATCTAGGAGTCTTAGTAAACCATAAGTGGAATGTGAGTCAGGAGTGTGATGCTGCAGCAAAAAAGGCCAATGCAGTTCTTGACTTTGTCAATAGGAGTCTTGTGCCCACATCAAAGGAAGTCATCACAATATATAAATAAAAAATGCAATGTTCGTTTGTGGGATTAACATAACTCAAAAACCACTGGACAAATTGACACGAAATTAGGACACAAAAATGAGTGTCCATCGGATGATAAACACACAGACACACACACACACACACAAAACCCCTGTGGAACAGACTTAAAAACCCAAAACATAAACCATATACACATACATATACATATACATACATATACACATACACTCACATGCATAGAATATTTATAATATTATAATGTAATACAATATAATACTAATAATAATATATTTTAATTATATATTTTATACTACATATAATATTACTAATAATATTACAATATGATGGTATAGTACAATATAGTAATATACTGATATTGTACTATGCTAATAATATAATATATTGTATATACATATAATATTTATAATATTATAATGCAATACAATATAATAATATATTATAATTATATATTTTATATTACATGTGATATTACAAATAATATTACAATATAATATAGCGCAATATAGCAATATATAATACTATACTAATATAATATAGTGTATATACATATAATATTTATAATATTGTGTATATATATATATATAATTATGTAAAGTAATACATAATAATAATAATATATTATAATTATATATTTTATATTACATGTAATATTACATGTAATATTACAATATAATGGTATAGTACAATATAGTAATATTTAATAGTGATATTGTGCTATGGTAATATATTGTATATACATAGAATATTTATATTACAATGTAATACAATATAATAATAATATATTTTAATTATATGTTTCATATTACATGTAATATTACTAATAATATTACTCTGAGTCGCCTAAGGGCTGAGAAGAGCGGTATACAAATAAAGTAAATAAATAAAGTAAATTACAATATAATGGTATAGTGCAATCTAGTAATATTTATTACTGATATTAAATATTATATATTACTATATTGTAGTATACCATCATATTGTAATATTATTAGTAATATTATATGTAGTATAAAATATATAATTAAAATATATTATTATTAGTATTACATTGTATTACATTATAATATTATAAATATTCTATGTATATACAATATATTATATTATATTATTAGCATAGCACAGGAGACAAGGTGGAACTGTCCGCTAGCCAGTTGCAACATTCACACTTGCCTCCAACAGACAAGAGTTCTTTCTCCCACCTTGGACATTATTCCACACTTGCCTAGTTTCCAACAACGTCTGAGGATGCCTGTTGTAGATGGGGGCAAAATGTCAGGAGAGAATGCTTCTGGAACAGGGCCAGAAAACCCAGAGCAACCAAATAATAATAATAGTAATGTCAATCTTTGATAATAATGATACCGGTGATGATGGAAAGTCCTTTGGAGGCTGAATGGCCATCTGTTTACAACTTTAGGATTCTCTGATTCTGTGAAGTAATGGGCTGGCGGGAGGGATCAGATGGTGCCTTCCTGTGCGGACTGTGTAACCTGTGGTTCTGTAATTCCAGGTCTTCCCGTGGTGCAGCCAGACGGAGTGGCGGCGCCTGGTCCACGTCATCCAGAGCCTCTTGGAGCGGGAGGTGCTCTACGTGCCCTACTCCCTGGAGTATGTCCCGTTCCTCCCGCTGCTGGACTTCCGCCCCTTTGCCTTCCACCTCCAGCTCTCGGTGCTGCTCCTGAGGGTGTTCCAGTTCCTGTGTGGCTCCAGTGGCGCGGGGTGGATGCCCTCGGCCGCCTGGAAGCACCTCTCGCGGCTCTACTGCCTGAGCGTCTCCGACCTGCTGGGCTCCGCAAAGGAGGCGGCGCGCGGCATGCGGCGGACGGAGGACCCTCGGGGTGGCGTGCGGCGGGAGCTCTCCTTCACCTACGTCCAGATCTTCTGCCACGTCCTGCACGTGGCGGCCATGCTGCCCGAGGACGGCACCGCCGAGGCCCTGCTCGTCCTCTCCTTGGAGGTCCTCTCGCAGTACGAGGTCCTCTACGAGGCCGACGAGTCGCTGGGCAGCTCCCTCCGCAAGGCCAACGAGAGGCACTTCCTGGAGTCCATCGCGGAGAACGTCACCAACAAGGAGGTCCGCACCATGCTCCTCCAGAAGCTCCGCAAGCTATGAAGGCGCGCCAAGGCGGGCTCGGGATGGGCGCTCCGTATACGCGGGATCCCTCCGATCCTGACAACGAGCGAGGATTTCGTTTCGATCGTCGGTGGGGAACCCGAGAGATCTCTAATAAACATCTATCTCTTTTTTTTTCCACTCGTTTCCTCTTTTTTGGTGTCTTTGTTGATACTCTTTTGTATGGTTTTACATACAAGATAGGCACAAAATTATGGGAAATATTGTGTACACAATCTACTTCTGTTTACATTCCGTATCTCGAATTGCCACGATGGACCTGTTCCCTTTCGGATGGTTCCACATGCTTCCCATTTAGTTTCATATGCAAAATTATTAACTCATTTCGTATGCAAAATTATTACTCAATTCTTATGCAAAATTATTTATAATTTTGCAAATGTAATGAGTTAATACTTTTGCAAAATTATTAACTCATTTCAGATGCAAAATTAGTCATTTCAGATGCAAAATTATTACTGATTTCATATGAAAAATTAACTCATTTCATATGCAAAATAGTAATTTTGCATATGAACTGAGTTATTCATTTTGCATAAATCATATGCAAAATTATTACTCATTTCATATGCAAAATTATTAACATTTCATATGCAAAATTATTAACTCATTTCATGTGCAAAGTAATTTTGCATATGAAATGAGTTGTTTTGCAAAATTATTACCTCATTTTAAATGCAACATTATTAATTTATTTCATATGCAAAATTATTACTCATTTCATATGCAAAATTATTACTCATTTCATATGCAAAATTATTACTCATTTCATATGCAAAATTATTAACTCATTTCATATGAAAAATTACTCATTTCAGATGCAATATTATTACTCATTTCATATGAAAAAATATTAACTTATTTCATATGCAAAATTATTAACTCATACCATATGCAAAATAATAATTTTGCATATGAAATGAGTTAATTATTTTGCAAAAAAATTATTACTCATTTCATATGCAAAATTATTAACTCATATGCAAAATTATTACTCATTTCATCTGCAAAATTATTATTGTGTGTCTATTTGACATTTCTTGAAAAGTTTTGAAATAATCTCAAATATCCCTTATCTTGAAAAATTCTGAAACAATCCGCACGTGGCCCATTTGCTTTTGCGTGATTCCACATATTCCCTTATTTGGTTTCCTATACAAAACTATTACAAATATTGTGTATACATTGGGTTCCATGCTGGTTCTATGAAAACAATGTGAATTTTGTATTGTAAGTCCCATCTCCAACCTATTGGCTTATAGATAAGATAATATGCACGTACGCAGCACTAAGATGCAACCACAAGAGGGTGCTATGTAGAAAGGATAACCTATTGGGTTATAAATATATATGAATGCAGCCACAAGAGGGCAGTGTATGAAAACATAATGTATTGGCTTCTAGATATGTATGAATGCAGTGCTGAGACGTGGGCACAAGGGGGCGGCATACAGAAAGGATAACGTAATGGCTTTTAGGTATGTATGTATGCAGTGCTGAGATGCGGCCACAAGAGGGCAGCATATAGAAAGGATAACGTAATGGCTTTTAGGTATGTATGTATGCAGTGCTGAGATGCGGCCACAAGAGGGCAGCATATAGAAAGGATAACGTAATGGCTTTTAGGTATGTATGTATGCAGTGCTGAGATGCGGCCACAAGAGGGCAGCATATAGAAAGGATAACGTAATGGCTTTTAGGTATGTATGTATGCAGTGCTGAGATGCGGCCACAAGAGGGCAGCATATAGAAAGGATAACGTAATGGCTTTTAGGTATATATGTATGCAGTGCTGAGATGCGGCCACAAGAGGGCAGCATATAGAAAGGATAACGTAATGGCTTTTAGGTATGTATGTATGCAGTGCTGAGATGCGGCCACAAGAGAGCAGCATATAGAAAGGATAACGTAATGGCTTTTAGGTATGTATGTATGCAGTGCTGAGATGCGGCCACAAGAGGGCAGCATATAGAAAGGATAACGTAATGGCTTTTAGGTATGTATGTATGCAGTGCTGAGATGCGGCCACAAGAGGGCAGCATATAGAAAGGATAACGTAATGGCTTTTAGGTATGTATGTATGCAGTGCTGAGATGCGGCCACAAGAGGGCAGCATATAGAAAGGATAACGTAATGGCTTTTAGGTATGTATGTATGCAGTGCTGAGATGCGGCCACAAGAGGGCAGCATATAGAAAGGATAACGTAATGGCTTTTAGGTATGTATGTATGCAGTGCTGAGATGCGGCCACAAGAGGGCAGCATATAGAAAGGATAACGTAATGGCTTTTAGGTATGTATGTATGCAGTGCTGAGATGCGGCCACAAGAGGGCAGCATATAGAAAGGATAACGTAATGGCTTTTAGGTATGTATGTATGCAGTGCTGAGATGCGGCCACAAGAGGGCAGCATATAGAAAGGATAACGTAATGGCTTTTAGGTATGTATGTATGCAGTGCTGAGATGCGGCCACAAGAGGGCAGCATATAGAAAGGATAACGTAATGGCTTTTAGGTATGTATGTATGCAGTGCTGAGATGCGGCCACAAGAGGGCAGCATATAGAAAGGATAACGTAATGGCTTTTAGGTATGTATGTATGCAGTGCTGAGATGCAGCCACAAGAGGGCAGCATATAGAAAGGATAACATAATGGCTTATTGATATTAGGCTTGGGCGGTTTCGTTCGTTAATTTCGTAATTTGTTATTAATTCGTATTTAAATTAGCTTACGATCCAATATTGAGCCATGCAGGAATAGTGTGAGGAGTAAATTAGATTCGAAACAATTTTTTCAATTTATTTCGTAATTATTTCGTAATTATTTCGTAATTATTTTGGCATGTCTGGTGCAAGTTTTATAGCTGTTGTTTGTTTTATCACACCAACAGTCAACAACAGAGGGAGA